TATAGATGTTTGTGTATTTATGTATTTAAAGTTTTAATTTAAATAATAATTTTTATATAAAATTTATATGTTTATTTTCTTATATATAGATGTTTGTGTATTTATGTATTTAAAATTTTAATTTAAATAATAATTTTTATAAAATTTATATATTTATATATATTTTGAGATATATATAATTTCATTAATTGTATTTCATTAATTTTATTTATATAAATTTATCTAAACAGCTTATATTATTAAAGTTTAACATCGAAGATATTAAGAAAATTATTTTTTTTAGATATTTGTGAAAATATATTGAATGTATATAATATTGAATATAGTGAATATTATGAACATATAATAGGATAGTAGTTTGTTAGGGCTACTCCATATAATGCTCCTTATGCACATGGTTCCGGGGACTTGCGCGTTGGAAGACTAAGGAAAGGCGCGTGGGGTTTTTAGTTGGTAGTCCCTGCCGTTAAAATGGCGGCGGGGAGAGCCCAACACTACCCCGACGGGACCGCTAAATAGGTCCTATTTAGCGGTCCCGTCGGGGTGTGCATAAGGAGCATTTTCCCCACGTAAAAAAAAAAAAAAAAAAAATTGTTAAATTATGTTGTATTACATTTCAAATTATATTATATTTTAATAATGAATTTCAACAATGAATTTCAACAATGAATAACATAATATCCGACATAAACAATACCGTGCCAATGATTTTGTTTTACGGTCTTGTTATGCAAATTTAAATTTATATACTATATTGCAAAATAAATGCTGCAATTGTATATATTATATTATATATAAAATTATATATAATATAACCCTCCCATGGGGTACACCTTGTCGCGGTGGGAGGGCTTAGTACTTGGATGGTGTCTTGAGATTTATCTTAAATTTTTCTATTTATGATAAATCTTAAGGTGCTTGAAAGGGAAGCTAAGTACCCTTTCGCGTCGTCGGTGCCGTCAACGTGCCGCGGACGGCAAGTGTTTCGTTACCGCGTTTTCGCGTTGTAGTATTCTCGCGTCGTCGCGTTTTCGCGGAAATTTTGGACTTTTTCATATAAAATCGCAATTTCATTTATTGTCACGAGTCTCTACTTCCGATGCCAACTAACTGGGATGTTTCGAGTTTGCACACGTTGTTATGCAACGTACACTCGCGCTTCGTGCTTCGTACTTCGTCAAATGATTCGGCCCGAATTAGTTAGAACTCGATCGATTGCTCGGAATGGTCGTCAATGGGTCCCTTCTCTTTGCTCGTCTACCCTACAGCCACACGCACTGCGTGTGTTAACCCTGTCGAGGAGTCGAGTGGATTCCCCTAAGCATGATTTTCGCTCGGTAAAAGGGGTTGCCTCCCCATTTTTTAAATTGCTGAATGTTAGCATTTAAAAAATGTGGGTATCCTCTTCTTTTGCCGTCTACCAGCCAGGTGTAGCCATATCCTGCATTGCGGGAAACTTCGTGTTCCGGGCGAAGCACCTGAAATCATGCTTAGCGGATCCAGGTTCGATACGAGATAGGATAATTATGCGCGAAAAAGAGCTGGTGAACTTTATTTTCCTCTATTCCTCAATCGTTTCGTCTTCTTTCCGGTTCGGGCCTAATCTTTGCTCGTTGTATCATTGCACTCCCGACCTGTTGGCTCAAAGTTAAGTCTCGTAAATGAAATGAGATTTTCGCTCGTACCGAAACCGGAAGTGTCGTTGAAAGTATATATATATTAAATATATACATCGCGCGACCAAATTTTTAATCCGAATACCGAAGTAGTGCGGGAGTGCCGTTTAGTATCGCGCGTAAAATAACGAAAATAGCGATATAAAAATATCGCTCGTGAGTGCGGGAGTGCCGTTTAGTATCGCGCATAAAATAATGAAAATAGCGATATAAAAATATCGCTCGTGAGTGCGGGAGTGACGATGAAAGTATCGCGCGTCAACAACATGAGAGGAGGAGGAGGCTTGGGAGAAGCATCCTGCACCGGCGGAACAACCTGATGGTGAATATTATTATTTATATAATTAATTGTTATAAATCGTTAACTTGTTATAAACGAACAATAATTCGATCTTATTATTTAAATGAATTAAAGTGAAAGATTTTTATGAAAGTTATATAAAATTTTCTATTCATAAAACAGTTACAAAAATTTATAAAATTTTTTCATACGTGTTTATCTGCTTATTATTTTACACATCGGATATAAAATTCCGCGCGATAAAAATTTTTTTAAACATTAATTGCATTTTACGAGCATTATTATAAATGAATAAATGATTTTTATATTTGTATGTTACAGACAACTAGCTTCGATAACAACAATTCCGCTGTTGCGCATCAGTGCCGGTGAGTGAAAAAAACTTTTATTTAACATTAAGGTAACGGATTTGTAGAGATTGCAGATGTAGATGTAGATGTAAATTGTAGATTGTAGATAAATCCGTTGTCTTAAAATGGATGAGCTAGAGGGATCAAATTAAATAAATTAAATTAAATAATTTAATTAAATTAAATTAATTAAATTAAATTAAATAATTTTAATAAGTTTTTTCGAACTTACGCTTTGCATCTATCGCGAAAATATATTGAAATATTAATTAAAAAGAGAGAGATCAAGAAAAGATTTTTTTGTAAAGATTTTGTCTAATTTATTAAATAAAGGATACACATTAACAATTATCAATTTTATCAATTTTTGATGCTAATTTATTTTTATAATACGCACTTTCTTCTAATTGCTCATAGCTCATCCATCGTAAAATTTATTTGTAGATATTGTTTTTAAACTTTATTTGAACTTAATATAAAGCCAAATGATTAATTAATTAAATAATTTGTAATATGATAAGTACGCACATAAATTTTATATTTTATTATAAAATATAATTTATAGAAATTTATAAAAATTTGAAGTAATTTGGCTTTATTTTAATTAAAATAAAATTATATTCAATATTTAACGAACGATCGTTAAATGATCGCTAAATAAGCGTAAATATTTCACGCTTTTTTGCCGGTAATTATCCGGCAAAAGAAGGAGTAATTATCTCCTTTTTCGATCTCTGATTAGAGATCGAGAGAGAAAGTGGCCAGGATCAACGAAAGGTAGGTAACTGGCCTGAAGAATATAGTTAGGGCACACGGTTAGGATACGCGGTTAGACTAAAATATATACATGATTAGGTGAGGTGATGATTAGAGATAGATTCCTCCAATTTCGAATAATTTTAGTTAATCAGAAAGTAGGGTTGTTAAGGCTATAAGTAGAATCATTAGAATTCTTCTATTAATATTAGGGTTGTTAGGGCTATTAAGTAAGATTCATTCTTTCTTTTAATATTCTAATAATTCTAGGGATAAATTAAAATGATTTTATTAAGTTGAATTTATTTTTAAAAACGATCTAAAAATAAATATAACATGTTTTAAAAGTGAAATTTAAATTATCAAAATTATTTTCAGAAATATTAAAGAAATTGCATATTTACGTTCAAGAAATCTTAACATGTTATATTTTATTTTAAAACTTAAAAATGTGTGTATTAAATCAAATATAATATTAAATCCAAAATGTTAATGCTATCAATATTAAATTATTACACCGATGTTATTAAATATTTGAATAAATGGAATATTATTACATTGACATTGATAGCATCACAAATTTATAAATTGTAAATTTAAATAGTTAAGTAAATTATAAATAATTATAATTGTATTTTAATTATAATCTAATATTGATATTTTAATTGTAAAATACAATACAATTATGATATACGTATAATGATTACATAATAGTAATTAATATAATAGTAATTCATTAAAGTATTTATTTCTGTAGTATATATTTTTGGAATATTCATAAAAGAGTAATTGTTTGTATTTTCATGTCAAAGAGTCATTAATAAATTCGGAAAATCTTTATATAAAATATAAAAATTCGATGCTAAATTAATGATAAATTAAATATAAGCATTATAAAATTTGACGCCTTTGTTACAGAATTGCGAGTTAATTATTATAAATTTAATGTTATGCTTTCCGTTAGCTTTATTTATTTATGAATTCCATATCGCGCGGAACTGAATATTCTTAAATAATTAAATTATGATTGCGAAAATACCGTGTTTTTCCGTATTCTCTTCGCGTCCTTATACAAGATTATCATTTTAACAGAAGAATTTTACCGCTGTCGCTCTCGTCAGATAATATTCTAATTATTAATAATATTCTAAATATTGCTAATTAAATATAAAGGAAATGTCGAATAAGAGAGTGAAGATTTGATGTGATAAGTCAACGATTAAATATTAGCTTCACAAAATTTAACAATCACCTTCGATATTATAGAATCGCGAGTTAATTATTATGAATTTAATAATTTGTTTTTTCAATTATATTTGTATTTACGAATTTTTTTTTTCGTTTCGAAAAATATTCAGAAATAAATTAATAAATTACCGTTACGAAAACATCGTGTCTTTCTCACATTCTTTTTCGAGTTTTTACGAGATTGTCGTTTTAATAAAAGAGTTATCATTGTTCCTTCTGTATAATAAACGTTAATGAAAGTTGCGTGGCTCGTACCGCCGAGGAGTCGAAACAATTTTCATCATGGAGAATTATTTCTTATCGATTTTTGTAAGATCCATTCGCGACGTCTAGTTCGGTGCCCCGTTGAAAATGAGGAATTTTTATTGTAAGATTGGAATAATTAATCCTATACTAATTAATTTATGAAATACATATAACTAGAATATTTTATGTATCACTGGTCATCATAATGATAAAACATGTACTGTTTATCTATTATTATTATTTCAGATAATTCTATAAACAAATATGTAATAATCAAAAATCGTTCATAAATATAATTTTATAGTTGCTTTATCATAGCACTATCAATATTTAATAAGATAATTTTAAGATCGTACAAAAGGATGTCACAACATTATTAAAATTAATAATAATATGTAAAGAAAAGAGAGAAAAAGAGAGAGAGAGAAAGAGAGAGAGAGAGAGAGAGAAGAGGGTAATGTCCAATGTTTACACTGAATTCTTTAGTGGGAAAGAATTTCATTAACAAAAAATTTCTATCTTCAAGAGATTTACACAAATTAAGAATAAATTTTGCAGAAATTATATTGAAACACTAACTCATTACATCATTCACAGCTTGGAATCGCCTTCTTCTTTGCAAGAAGAATCAATTTTGACACTTCGCGCAGTCTTCCGTTCTTCTAGATTTCTCAAGTTCGGCGAGCTTGAGCTGGTACGACTCATCATCGTGTCTATCACGGGTATGTTATCAGTAGTTCTTCTGCGAAATTTTAATGCTTTGCCGGATAATTTTGGCCATTGGATGCTCTTTTTTCTTTTAGAATCGCTAATCGATTGATTTCTTTTTATCAGATGCTTCGAACTACTCGCACAACTCGGTTCGCCGCCGATTACGGGCATATCAATTGGTTCTGGAATCTGTGAATGCTGGTAAGAGTCATCACGCTGATGTGGAGAACCAAAGTTATTGTATTCTTCTTTATCGCAGTCGCAGATGTCTGGCACGTCATGCAACTTCTCCTCGGTGAACGCCGAGTTTATGACACCCTCCTGACTTTTGTTGCTTTGCGACGAGATGCTCGGTTGTCGTCCCTCGGAATCATCTGTGGAAGATTGACGGAAACTCTTGAACGAATCCTTCCTCCAAGGATTTCCCTCTTCGGTCGACATGGAAACCGGTATAGATCGCGAAATGTTCATCGTGCTCGGCCAAGGATGATGTATTACTGGGTTATTGTTAGACAACTTTGTTAACTTTGTTGTCGAGAAAAAGGGTTTCCCGGTGTGAGACGCCGAGCCCTTCGCCAGAGCGGAGAATTTCTTGACCGCCTCGGTTATGACGTGCCGTTGTTCCATTTCGATCGGTTGCTCTTGCCCATCTGCATCCAGCTGCACAACCGTTTCGGAACAATTGCCAGCCATCTTCGCAAATGTTGCAGACCCACTGATCTGGCTGAAACAAACGAGTCTAACTTAATAGAGTTCCTGTATCGCGTTATTTTCGAAAGTTCCTGAGACGGAAATTTGTTTATATTCATTTGTTTATTCATATTTCAAGAACACAGTTTTTTAAACACACACACACACACACACATATTTTTTATAATTGACTGAAAAAAGAACACGATAAATTTATAAGACTTTATGATTAAAATAACTACAATTATTTATTTTATTATAATTATGATACATCTGCAAGCGTCTTAATTATAGTTACACAATTGTTTTGAAACAATTATGAGCCATATCCTTACCGCTTTTCGTTTACCGGACTCTCGTTTGGATTTGCTAAACTGACAGTGGAAGTGCGAGGTGTCGGAATATTCTTATATTCCTCTTCTTCCTCTAAAATTTCGGGCAGGAACATCATCTGTTTTTCTTCAGGCACCCTAAACAATCAATAATAATCAATCATCCCAAAACAATTTTTAATAGAAGCTGTATTTCCTGATTTTTCAAGACAAAATTTTCATGAGAATGTGCAAAGCATGTTGGGAGAGAAAGAGAAAGAGAGAGAGAAGAACAACCTTATATTAAAATCAATGTGATTTTATAAATAGACTCGACTAGCCAGAGTTTCAAATATCGTTGTAAATAGCACATACGAAATACTAACGTCATATTTGCCACGCTACCGCGATAAGTTTTCTTCTTGTACGCCGCGGCCGCTTCCGTATATGGCAGGCTCACATTTTCAGAGTCGTAATAAATGTCCTTGACGAGCGGCGGGCAGCGGTTCATCAGCGTGTCCACCCCGAGGTACGATACCTAGCGTTCGCATATAAATATAATTATGTCTTAAAATACGATATCCCGAAAATAAAGTTTAATCAGTTTCTACCTTGATATGACGATCGATCAGCCAGTTCAACTCAAAATCTTCGTCATCGTCTCCGAACGGATTTATCAGCTGTTCGGCTACCTTCAATAGTCCCATAAAGAAAAAGAACTGCAGAATCGTGAAGATCGGCAGATATTTATCTATTTTTAATTGAAATTGCTTTTCACCGTCAATGTATTGTCGACCGATTAAAGCGACCGCAAAAAAGCTATAAGTAGCGAGCGTCACTACCTGGGTATACACCAATGGGATAGACACCCAGTCGTAGCTCCATAGGAGACCACATTTGGTCCGGAACTCGCTGAATTCCTGCAAAATAAATATGTTTTTGTTATCGAAAAGGTGATTAATTAATCTTGGATTTATTAATTGATTCATTAAAATATTTGAACAATTAAATACTCAATAATTATCACGTCGTTAAAAAAAATCTATTTATGAGATTAAAAGTATAAATAAAATATTGATTCAATTGTTAAATAAAAAAAAATTTGCTTTTAAATTTCGTTATGACATACGTCATACTCGCTGATTAAGTTTATCGTGCATATTAAAATTGACTTGTTTGTAATGTGCAAACGCATAATGTGTTTGAGACATGTGTGCCTAATCGCGAAAAATAAAAACGTGGTTGATAAGCCGCGACACGTAAGTTTATGACTATTTCTAATCGGCCATATATCGACTTATCGTCGCAGTAGATGGTCGTAAAACCTAATCGTTCTTGCTATTGACTTCCTTGGTGTTAAACTTTTATATCATATAAGCGTTTCTAAAAGAAATTTAACACGGCAGAAAGAAACAAAAATAATGAGGTTCGACAGTTACGTTTTCAAAAAATTATAATAAATCTTAAATAATTCTATTTGCTTTACCAGTTAAACAAACTACAATAGAAATTAGAAATAATTTTTAACATTAATTTGTTTCATTTTAACATAGAACACTCATATGGTTATTATTATTTTTATTATATTTATATAATTTTTTTTCTTTTTTTGTACTTTATTGTAATAATGAAGGAAATTTACATCAATTTATAAAGATATTAAACAAATAATTAGGAGATACATATAGAGTTCATATTCGCACCTCCATAATTAACTTTAAACCTTGCGGATCAGGTATCCTGTGATTCTTGCGTGCCTCCTTGAGAAGATTAATGAACCATGTACTCGGTATCCAATAAGTGTTAAACTCACTACTCGGCACCGATTGATATAATTCGCGCTCCAATGTGGTCATGAAACCTGCAAGACACTCATTAATTTTTAATCACCAAGAGAACGATGATCAATAGTCTTTTTATTGTGATTTACCAGAATCAATAACATGATCAAGAGTAGGAAATCGCCTCTTCACAGCCGAACTGATGGAACGTAGGACAAGTATCAAAGAGAGGTTCAGATAACGCATAAGAGCTCTGCGCAGCATCCGACTGTATTCGTCGTTTCCGCTGATGTAGAGAGCCACGAGATGCATTACCCTGTAGGAGAAAAAAATGAAACAAAAAATTATACACACTTTTCTTCCATCGATTCTTTTGGTATTTGTTTCCTGCAAATTTTATTTTTAAGAGAAACAGAAATAATTTTCTTCATTGTTGAAAAATTAGGAACTTAATTAAAAATTAAAAATGCATTGTTTAATAACTGCTTTCTCACTTGTCAGGCCACGGTATTGCCTTGTATTGCTTCCACCATCTTTGCGCCACGTAAGATACATAAAATCCAAGCACGAAACTGAGCGGGATCAATTTGATTAAGGTGTCGCAGTAAATGACAACTTGCTCGAACTCTCTGTAAAGGATTATATATTACAATAATTCTTAAAAAATTACTAGAAAAAATTAACTAAATTAGATTTGAACGAGATAAATATGTATGAATGTGTATGATGAGATAATTAAAATAATTAATATAAAAAATAAATTTTTATATATATATATATATATATATATATATATATATTTAACATTATAAAACAAATTAATTTTTCTCTCATTGCATTCATATATGTTTATATTGAACTTTATTGACTAAATCAATAATATATTCTTATTTTTTCTACAATACATTAATATATATTAATATATATAATATGTCTTTAGATTTATATATATGTATATTTATAATGTATGTGTATGTTTAAAACATATCGAAGTATCCACCTTTTTTGTGCGTCATTAAAAGCATAACGATAAAGTGCGGACAAGGTGCCAAAGAGAAGCAAATAAAGTAGCAGTTCTCTGTAGATGAGCTTATACAGAGAACCACGCCACATAAACAGAAGCCTAGTGAATCCACCGCTGGTGGAACTGGCGACCTCATACTGATAAGAGACCGTCATCTTTTATCCATTCAATAATACCACTAAATTCTTCTCGAGAACGACGTGGTCGCGAGCACATTATTACTCATAATTCTTGAAATTTTCGCCTATCGAGCCTAAGAATAAAATTATACAGTTATAAGATGCAATAATTATGCAGTTGTAAACTGTTTAGTCATTTAAATATTTTTAAAAATAAAATATATAAATATTTGAAGAAATTTTCAAATTATATTATTAATAATATTAAAATTTTTATTAATTATAATCATATGTTTGTAAATTAATTTATTTTGATAAAATTAATTTTTTTATACATTAATTCATATAGAATGGAACAATGGATAAAAGAAATAAACACGCTTACAAAACTTTGTTTTAAATTTCGTTTCAATATAAATGTTGGAAAATTTATTTCTAAATACATACATGTTTTTCACCTAAGTAATTTCTAGTTTAAGATAGATCGGCTATTGTGCCGAAATAAGGGTTTGTATTCTAACGCAGAATAATTCATTCCAAGCATTAGCCATTTCCAAATTACTGTAGTATCGTAAGATATCTATTAAAAATAAGTTGTTAAATAATACATATATAATTAACATTAACTGATATATTCTTTTTATATTTTATATATTCTTTATTTTTTTATATTAAAAATTTTTATTGTTCAGTTACGTACCAACTATAAATAAATGCTAACTGAATCCTCAGGTATAATAACATTAACACATCAAACAGCTAGAAAAGTCCTGCAATTGATAAATAATCGTTAAAATACACATATCAATTGTGAAAATAATAGTACTTTTTAATATTTAAAAATACATACAAAGATACTAAACATAATTATATATATGGAGTAATCTAGCAAAGTAAAATGTTGCAATACATATAATTATATTTAATAGTGTTTAAAAATACATAATTATATTTAATAGTGTCAATACATACATATATATTGACCACATACATATATTATTAAATATAATTATATATATCGTAATATTATATTTTACTTTGCTAGACTACTGTCCACTAGATAATACGAATACATGTAGCAACCATTTGTTTTTGTCAGCAAGCTCTTATAGCGCTTTTGTGTACGCCTAATAATGTAGCGAGATATGTACCGTTGTCGCAGTTTTAGCATGAGTTGTGCCAATAAACAATTAATTTAGCCGACTGTAAAACGCAATTTCACAATTTTTTCACAGATGATATATCGCGTGTATAGATTACTTTCAGTTTTAATCCTCCAAATCATGAGACTGTTAAATGGTTTATGATCATTCAAAGTGCCAAACCAAATTATCTGAGCAAAGCAATTTATCAAGAATAATTCATTTAAGAGAAACGATGATCTTCTTGCGATTCAAGATCATCGCAGTGACATTGGTAATATGCGCGATCGTATCATTCGCTAGAAATATCCGAAATGCTAAACCTCGACTAAAAGTGGACTAACCCAGACTTAGATATTGTTTCCTATATTCCAATGCTTTGCCAATAATCAGAGTCATAGTTCAAACATAGCTGTATAAAAGATTTATCGCGCACTTATTGTATAAAAGATATAAATATTAAAATTCTATCACTCAGAGATAAAGACTAAGAGATAAAGGCTAAGATAGATAAAGTCATCTCATTATGACATTATGAAACTTTCGCTATTTAACAAACATTTAAACATCATCAGCGAATATAAGGCAAATATAAAGACATTATGAAACTCCCACTAATTAGCAAACATCACTAATTATCAAACTTCATCAGCGAATACAAGATAAATATAAGTTTCACGTGTAAAAAGAAAATTTTTTGTGATTAAGCAATTATTTAATTTATCAGGTTAATATTGTATCAATTTCGTTATGACTGCGATTTGAATCTGTATCATTCTTGATGTTTTATATGTGTATTTCGTCATAACTATGAGCTGGACGGAGCTTCAGATATGCATATGACGCCAAAAACGATATATACGTCACAAACGAAACGTCATTGCTTAACGATAAATGAATTAAGATTGCCAGGCGTGACTGCATTTTTTTCTGTCGCGGGACGTATCATAAATAATGTCTAATAGCAACTGTCTGTCTCTCGGGAATTGCGCCAGTAATGCGAAGGTAAATATAACTTTGGGCGTCGATGTAACCACGAAGTGTCTGGGTAAACACACGATTTGCACGAGATTTCCGCGCGATCTTTACGGCTGCATTTCAGGATACATTTTGTCCATCGATATCTCGAGGATGCATCTCGAAGCGCAGCCAGAACGATGTAGGCAATTGCCATCGTGTGCTTGGCACCCTAATTATCATCATTTGACTTTTAAAGCTTTTCAAGTATTTAACAGAGAGATAATCTGAGGTCTCTTGCACTTTTTACTGTCATCTTTTTATATTATATATAAATTTCAATATTTTATACTATATATAAATACTTTAAAATATATAAAAAAAGAAATTTTCTATTTCACACGGAAAATATATAATGATAGAGTGATTGCGCGCAATATATTGTTTTTTTTTTCTTTAAAACCTTTAGACTTATATCTGACATTATATACTTAAAATATCAATTTAATTGGTAATAATTTTTTTATTTGATATTTATATTTGCATATATATTTCATGCATGTTTCGAACATAAAAGTTTTCCTAGAATTATTGCTATCTATATACTTGTCAAATATATAAATTAGTTTTAAAAATGCACTTGAGATTTATATATAATTGCATCATAATTAAAAGTTTTTCATAAATGTGAATAACAATTAGAAATAAAACATAATATTATGATAATCATCACTTTGTTATTTATTTTGATCTCTTTCTTAATACAAGTCCAGTAGTAATCACTGAAATGATGTAGTGAATCTGTACTAAAGGAGTTTTAGGAGTAATTAGCTTGTAATTTAACTATTTTACATCTAAATCAACAGATTAAGACAAACATACACGCATTTTTTTCACGTTTAACGAAATCATCGACACGCGTGGCATTTCTTGGCTAACGAGCTACATAATATAAAATACACGAGATATATCGCTTTGAGTTTTTGGCTCAAGTTTATTCAATCCCATGAATAGATACGTCTTCGACATAATAACTTCATCTTATTAGTCATTCATACCTTATAATGCTAATGCATCACAAACACGCTGTTAATAATACACGTATGGAATAATGTCGCCGAATCGTCTGACGGTTGCGTTATATTTCCGCGCGACCTTACCGAAAATACTCACGACGAAAACCACGACCATGGACAAAATGCGGAATTTAGAATTTCTTCTGGAAGAAGGCGCTATCGATTTAAGATCGAATTTATTCAATACAATATTTGTTAAAGAATTAAACGTAATTAAACGAGATTATTATAAATTATATATATAATTTTATAAATACAGTTTTTTAAAATGCTACATTAATAAATTTTACAAATAAATATTATTAAAAATAAATAAATAATTCTCGAGATATGATATCATATAAGTATATATAAGTAAATTTACTTGTAAAAGTAAATACAGAGAAAAAAACATGCGGGTAAGATGCAAATAAAATGTTGAAAATAAAGTATTTAATAAATCATTTCTTTTAATTACTTTAAAAATAGAAATATGTTTGCCTTAATTTAAATAAAGAAAAGAATCATATTTTTTATAATATTAAATAATAAAAGTGTGTTTATTAATTATTAATTTAATATGAGAAAACAATATAATATTAATTTAAAATGCAAATAGTGGGATTTCAAATTAGAGATTTAATATGTTATAAATTAGCATTAATCAATAACATTAATATCAATTCATCATCATATCATTTTCCAGACATTATGTATGAATCTTGTGAAACTAACTATATTTAATTTGTGTGTTATTAATTAAAAATTTAATCTTAATTATTTAATCTTAGCAATAGTAACAAGAAAGTTAAATTTTAAATACTAAATTTTGATTCGTTTAACACAAAGCATATGAATATATATATTGTTATAAATGTTATCCAAATAATATACAAAAATTATTTTTCAAAATTTTATTTATAACTAGCTTATGCAAATTTCTAGCATGAACAATGTACATTTGTTGCTTTATTTATAACACATAATTGTAAAACTAGACATTACATGTTTAAGTCTTGACCACATTGTATTAATATTGCATGTCAAAAAGTAAACATTCTCATCTTTATAATTTCGTAGAAGCAAATATATAAATTATTAATAAATAAATTTTTTCAAACTTTTTTGCATCTAAATATCTTATGTATTTCGCGCATTCACGCGATTTTATTACGTAATCCCAAACTTTGTCTCATATATTTTAAACATAATTTATAATATAATTTACGAATAAATACGTAATTATAATGGCTCTTGATATAGAAATCTGTTTTTCTATTGTCGTGCAAGATACTCTGAAAAATTGAAAACATGATAGTTTGACTCACCGTATAAAATATTTTATCAGTCATAACTAACGTATTTATTATCTTCTTTCTCGCATAAAACCACTTTTCATCGTGCACAACGTGTTTGTCGTTTTCGCATTCGCGCTTTAAATAAAAAAAATTAAACGAGCCGATGTGTTACCATCCCTTCCGGTTGTATAATATATGAAATCAGCTGGCTAAAGTAACGGCCAATTTGAATATGAGCGACACAAAAATTAATTTGATCTTCATTAAAGGTTACAGTTAATCAGTGTCACAATTCTTTCGCATTATTAATAATTTCTAAATTCAATCTGAATTTTCTTAATTCTCTTCCTTTGCGGGAACACTTGTCATAAAAATATTTATTTCATTTATTAAAACACTAGAGGACGATTAGAAACTTATTTAACAATATCTTTTTTTTTAACATCTTTGAATCATATTGTTTCACATACACAGCTTCTAAAATTAATATGGTTATATCTAATTATAAGTATATGCGGTGTCGCTTATAAATTATAGAAAAAAATTGTTGAATTCTAATGTCTAAATAATATTAAAATGATAAAAATATATAATTTGAAATCACAGTTTCGGCAGAAAATTAATAACAGTTAAAGTTTCTTCTCTCTACCTGCATATCTTGAATGCACATTTTATCATTCAATCGATATATTTTCTCATTCTCTGTTTAATTGAAAGATCTTTTAGCAGCTGTTTATGACTTCTCTTACAAATAGGCGATTTAAATGTTTTAAAGTTCTTCATAAACTGTTAAAGAAGAAATCAATTCGAAGCAAAACAGATTGCACCAGAAATAATTTTCACCTGACGCGATCGATTACGAGAATCGCGAAGCGATCTCCGAGGATTGTCTCACGGATCAAAAACTCGTCAATGGAAACGAACGGGGATCGCGATTCGAGATGTATCGAAGGAAGGCATTATCGCGTGGGTGCGCACTTGGCGCTCGTCGATGACGAACTGGTCGCAAGCAAGTAAATCGAAACGCGCGACATACTCTCGTATAGGCGACGAGATATTAAACATTACAGGGACGCGATCGCGATCCGATGGCAGTTACCCAAGATCTAAAAAGGGCCGAATGTCAAGCTCACGTAAAGTGCGCGTGAGCTGTTTGTTGACGGGGGTGTCTAGTGCAAAATCACCCTCAGAGATCAACCCTATCGCTCTAGAGAAATATATCTTGTCCTTCATCTGTCTCTTCAATGATGATAGATGAGAGAAAAATTAATAAAACTAATTTCCGATTCGTACAATCTAGTCTAAGTGCAAATAACGTCAAGATACGTATAAGAAACATCCAAAAAGTACCAAAAATATTAGAAAATGTCTTTAAATATTATTTATAATATTTTTTGAACTCTTGTATCGTCTAAATTAATGAATGCAATGTTCACGATTTCATGTTTTAAAACATTGATATAAAACTACAAAAGTTAAAATATCATTGGATTAAGTATTTTTGTGTATATATATATATATATATATATATATATATATATATATATACACAATAGTATTAAATATTTTGTACATAAAAGTACTTAATTTCATGAGATTTCTATTTTTATGTACATAAATTATTTTTTATTGATCTATTATTAATTATCTATATATTAATAAATATTTTTTTATTTTTTACAAATATTTTCGATATTTTATAAATCTAAATTTCTATTTTTGACTTAATCTATGTAATCTATTATTAAAAAAAAAAATTTCGATGCGCTTACGAGAATGCAATTTTCGTCACATTAGACTGTAGCCATTTTTTTAAAAGGAATAAAAAGTAGATCGTGGTGCCAACTTGTAACATATTTGTGAACATTAACATCAAATGGAATAGATAACTTAGGAAACGATTATATTTCCTGAAGATAAAACAGAGCATTTGTTTTAAATAATCTTTAGCTTTATGTCCGCTTTTTCAGGGAGCGCATCAGGACATGCGTGAGCTGAGGCAAGATGGCTGTTCTCAGATTTCTCGCTGGTATGAAATACAACACGAAGCAATTCTTGTTTTATCATGGAACTAGATAAATCTATCTTGATGCAAAAGCAGGTGAAGGATAATTCAGAGGATTTACGAAGCGAATTTTTGGACTTGAAAAATTGGGAAGAGCAAATGAAGCGAAAGGAACAAGAATTGTTGAATGAACGTACTGGACAGGTATTTTTGCGATCAAAATATTGATGGTATATTTATTAATCCTTTTATTTCATATTTTATTTTTAAAATATATATATTTTATTAGAAACGAATAATATATGTAACATGCAATAATATATATCTTAAAAAATATATAAAATAATAAAAAGGTTATACAGTGAAATGAATAATGTTACATGTGCTTAAAATCTTATAAACATAAATTGTTTTGTACAATTCTATATTACAAGTTTATTTTAAAATTGTTGAGATATTTAAATTTTAGATTTTATATTTATGTATAATATTAAATTTTTTGGCAAATATATGTGTAATGCATATATTGATTATACATTTAACTTACTTAAATATATATATAAATGATATATATTTCAGAATATTTTGCCTCCAATCAGAAGCAAAAATAAGAAAAAATGTATAATAAAAGAAAATAAAAAGACTGAAAATTCTAAACGAATAAAGTCTTATGATTATTCATTATGGGACAAATTCGATGTTGTAAGTAATATTTATATTATATATTATATGAATTCTCTTGATTTTTTTAAAATAGTTGAGGAAATATTTATAACAAACTATTATAATTATCATTGTGACAGGACAAAGCATGCAAAGAATTAGATAAAGAAGGACAATCTAGTGATTCTTGTGATGAAACTATGTCTAAAGAGGAATTGGAAAAAGATCATAGCAAAGCATTAGAACACAAAGATCAAGGCAATATTTTTGTGCAACAGAAAAAATGGGATAAAGCAATTGCTTCATACAGCGAAGCAATAAAAATTTTTCCTTATGATGCTATATTTTATGCCAATCGTGCACTTTGTTATTTAAAACAAGACAAGTAAATCTTATACTTTAAACATTTAATAAATACAAATTATGTTAATTTCTACAATTTATATCATTATTGAGTTTGTTATATTATATTACAGCTTGTATTCAGCAGAAGCAGATTGTTCATCTGCAATCGAATTGGATGAAACTTATGTTAAAGCTTACCATAGACGAGCAACAGCAAGAATGGAATTGAAACAATATAAAGAGGCAAAGGAAGATATAGAAAAAATATTAACTTTAGAACCTTCTAATAAAGAAGCAAAGGTCTTACTTAGCCAAATTAATAAACGACTTGAAAACTTAAAGGTATGTATATTTTTAGTATTATATATTTTGAATTAAATTGTTATTAATATATAAATTGTTATTAATATATTTATTTATTTCTTAGCCAATTATTAAATCTGTTGAAGAAATAACCAAAGACATACCGATAGAAAAAAAAATTGCTGAAAAGATGTTTGATAATGTAAAATCCAATAAAAAAATAATTGATATTAAAGAGAATAAAAATAAAAAGGATAATGTAAATAATATAGGAGCTATTGCAAAATCGAACACCATAAATCTAACAGAATCAAAGAGAGATCCACGCATTCCAGATTGGCTACCAGAAAAAGATGATGTTGAAGTTGTGGAATCTATTGAAAAACCTCCTCATTTACGCTCAAAGGTAAATTTGTATTAATATGTCACACAGTATTTGTGCAGTAATGTAATTACATCTTATTATTAATTAGGAACCATTAATAAGAATACCTGTGCAAGAGGCTGATTTAACTAAACCTTTCGAAAATGATTTCTTTTTAAAAAAAGAAATTAAAGCATCATGTAATAAAAATCAGCATCTAGAATTCAAATCAAATGTACACTCTGATAATACAAAGTATGAAGAAAGTATTACAAAATCTAAACCAGAAGTAAATTTTACCGAAAATATGGAAATACCTCCCATTCCAAGAACTGCAGTCCAATTTATAATAAACTGGAGAAGATATACTTCATCTGATTTTCGGTACAAATATTTAAAGGTAATTAATAAATTTTTTACATATTAACTAAATATGACTCATACAGAAATTGAAAGCAAAATCAAATTTTTCAGCAAATACCATCAAATAACTTACCAAAAATATTTCAAGATTCAATGGAAAGTGATATTTTTAGTGATATATTAGCAATACTTAAAACAGAATTTATGAAACAGGAAGAACCTATATTCCCGTATTTAAAAGATCTCAGTGTTGTTAAGAGATTTAGAGCTCTTATTATGTTTATCAGTAACTTAGAAAAACAAGGTATATAATGATACATATTTATTTTTCTTAATTGATTTAGGATGCTTAGTAATATGGAATTTAAAATACTTCCAGATTTGAAGGTCATGTTCTCATATTGTAAAACATTAGAAAAGATACCTGAAGAAGAAATTATAAAGTTGCAGAATAAATATGAAATTTGATAAAATGTGAATTGTAATCTTAAAAAGAAAAGTTTGTGGTAGGTAAGTTGTATCAAACTTTTGAGAAAAATATAGATTCATAAGTATTCACAGTACACAACATACAGATTTTCAAAAGTTTAATTTATATTTTAAAATATATTTTAAAATATATTTAAATATTTACAAGAAATACACAAATGTTACATTTTCAAATGCTAGAATAATGTAACAGAAAAAATAACAAAATCATTTTATACATAAAATATGTTATACCTAAGCTGTATAATTTATAATGAAATAATTAAATATTTTCAATAGCCTATAAAAATATTTACAGTCTAATATACAGTAGTAAATAATATACGCGCACTATAAATTACCATTAAGTAATCGTCGAATTTTTTGATCATTTTTCATAATTTGTGCCTTTACTTGACGTATTTTGCCCAATTGCATCTTCATGTTGTCGTCAATTTCTTTTAATGTTTCTTTCATAGGTTCTATCATTTCTTGTGTTTCTCTGAAATAAGAATTTCCATAAAAATTTAATTATTAAATAATATTAACTTCCATATTTATATATAAAAAATTTTCAAGACTTTATTGCAAGTTAATATACATATATATAAACTTGCAATATTATTATATATAGTATATATACTTTTGTTCCTTTTCCAATTGTTCATTTAACTGGCGATACTGGCTTTTCCAATCCAACAGTTCTTTCTGCATTACTTCTACGTCTTCCTGATATCATAGAAGATTTTGTAAAAAACTGTTGATTAATATGTAAAAATATGCATATAATGTACTACCTGTACATAATCTAACAATTTCCCTAGAGGATTCGTCGCACGCGTTAGTGTCTGTATTGTTCCACGTAATTTGTCAATTTCCTTAGCTACTACTTCTCGATCGCGTTTCGAACCTGATTCCCATGCCTATATTCAAATATATATTAATAATAATATATATATTCGTTAACGCGGACTATTTGATATTTTGCAAAAATTACGACAATTACTGCACAAAAATGTATAAATAGCGTATTTCAATACTTCTTACAATGTCCACTTTTTTCGGTAACACATCAACATTGTCGGTATTAACTAATTCTCTTTGAGTTTCTAAGATTTGTGCCACCAAATGCCCATGTTCCTGCATCAGCTGATTGTCTATCTTATAATCTCCATTCTCTAAGTTATCGCCACTGCTTCCCTTAGTTTCCATGACTACCATATCTTCATCATCATCCTTCAAGTCTGCGTCTTCGACAATAACACTAATATTTCCTATTGGTGTCCTGTAAATCGTAAAATATTTAAAGTATTATAATTTTAATATAAATAACTCTTTACAAAATAAATATTTTATCGCCGTCTTACTGTATCTCCTCGTTGATAATTAAATCTGTCTTTGCTCTTATTCTGGGAGCGGCTGGTCTAGCACTGATAGGTCTAGCACTAGGCGGTCTTAAGGAAGTTTTAGGCCTTTCATTGGATTGCTGCAAAACGCTAAAACAAACATTAAATTAAATCTACTTAAATATATTGATCTTTTCAATTTATTAAATATATTGATACTATCGAAAGATTTAATTGAATATATTACGTCGTTTCAGTAGTTGTTTCATTTTGAGAATCTGCAAATTCTGTTGTTGGCATTTGCTCGCTCTTTTTTTCAGCGCTCTGTTGCCGTTCCTTATTTTCTTCCGATACTCCATTTTTCTTAATTTCTTTGTTATAATTACTCATCTGATTTATTTCTGATTTATTTTGTTCTTCGTTATTCAGAGACATCTCTGAGGGCAGATTTGCTATTTTCTCCTGTGAGCCACTTACTTGCGCTGAATGTCTTATTTTACTTGATGAACTCCGATGTTGTATCTGTTCCTCTTTTATTGGTTCATGGGGTGAGATTATAGCATTTTGCTTTGTTTTAGCAGATGAAGAAGGCCTTCTTTTTTGCGCCGAAGTAGGAACTTTATCTTCAACTGGCTGAATATGATAAAAATAAGGTATATTAAATGAAACAACATACATATACACACATATATAATTTAAAGTACATGTTTTTGAAAAGCAAATAAATTTTAGAATTAAGAAATTATTTCTTTTTTATTTTTCCTTAATAAGTAATAAATTTCAAATAATGTGAAGAAAAACAAATCTTAATTCTACCTAACAAATTGGTACATTTTACTTCAAAAATTTTAGCAATATTTAAATGAGATTTTAACTTTTTACCTCAGCTGGTGGAATATCTATAGCCTCAACATTCTTCAAGTTTTCCTTTTTGTTCTCTTTTCTTGCTTTATCATTGACGTTCTTTGTTTCGCTCGATGCTACTTTTCCCGTACTAGATGATCTTTTCTTTCGATCCATCGAAATCTTATCTTTCTCCGATGATTTCCTCGTTTGCGATGCTTGCCTTGGTGCTGGCTTTTTTGAAGTTTCATCTTTAATTGTAGATTTTGATTTTTTCTTTTCCAAATTTTTTTTATAATGTTCAATCGCTTCTACACTACTGACCTAATATATATATAATAAGTAATATGTTATTATTTCACTTTAAAAAGATATAAAATATATTACTTTTTTATCGAGACATTTTCCAATAGCTTGCAATAAGTCATTTGTCTTTGTCGGTTCTTGACCAGAAATTATCTTACTTGCTCTAACCATTAGATTAGCACCTGAAATTAATTCTAAAACACATTATATATATTAATTACATGTATATTTGTAATAAAATATGATAGCACATTAAAGTTACTCACTGACAACGTCAATGAGTTTTGTCAAAAAGGCAAGCTTTGCCTCTTTATCTTTTATATTATCTGAATTTAACTCCTCATCGGTATATAATCCTTTCAAGAAACCCGTCTCTTTAATAATCTGAAATCAATTTTTATCCATATGTATCAAGATGTCCTAAATATGAATCAACTTATGATTTATATAAATCTATATTTTGTATAAATTTAAGATATGTGATAGATGATAAATAAATGTGAAATGTGAATGATGATAAATAAATTATATAAAAATAATTATATAACAAAATTATATCAAAAAAGAAAGAGAAAAAAAATATTAAATGTTGAATAGTCTGTAAATATATATGTGATAAATATATATGTGACAAATTACAGCTGTTATAATATCATGAAGAAAGCGAAACGGTGGTTTTCGCAGCAATTTCTCGGTTAATGGTGGCTTCTTGAAATATTTTCCAAGTAAATCTTGCGTTTTCTTTATCACTTCGGATCGTACTTCGTCCGTCATTGTATGGTTGTCTTTAAATCATGTTCTACGATAACTCACGATCCCAGTCAATGTAATGTCAAACGGTTGCTAAGCAACGACCACGTGAGAACTACGATCAATGGATGCGTTTCATTTGACATTACGAAAACTTTGAAGCGTTTCAAGTTTGATTGACCAATCAGAGCAAATAAATCTATGTTGTCTCCTTCATTCTGATTGATCATTCAAAAGATTCTTTCAAGGATCAATGAAATTCATTCAGAATCACGTGATAATCGTAGATCATTGAGCTAAATTCCGATTGATTACTTCGACATGTTAGAGATTTTAATGGTTAGTAAATTTCTAAATTGTATGCTGGTAATACTGCGCGCTACTACTATCATCTAGTGACACTGTATATGTGAGGTTATTTGTAAAAGTAAGGAAATTATCCTGCCAAGATGAGTTTTTTAAATTTATTGCCTATATTTTCACGGTAATTATGACTTCTTCGCTTTAATTATTTACATAATATTTAACTATAATTAATAAGTAATTTGCGAAATTTCTAATTAATCAAAATTAAATCAGAAATATACATATTTGTAAGTTTGATATGTAAACATTCACATTAAATAATATTTATTTTCAGATTATCTGTACATACTGTATCTGGCATTCGAAATATATCGGCATGCACTAATCCATTGTACTTCAAAGTTAGTAATGCGCTCTTGTAAGTTATTGTAAATATAATTGTAATATTTGAAGTGTCAATCATACATGTACTATAATTATACTATAATTTTAATTTATTCTGTAGGGGAGAACCATTGAAAAAAAAGAAAAAATTAGATCCCGCGATTATCAGGGCACGAGAGGAAAGAAAAAAAAAAAAGTTAGAAAAGCAAATTCGTAAATTAGAGAAAGCCACCAAACAATTGAAACCAGTCTCTGAACTAGAAATACCATTGAAGTTAATAGATGAAAAAAAGTAAGCATGTATACATATTGAAATTTTATTATTTGAAATTAATTATATGTGAAACATATATAATTTCAATAATGTATCGATTTTATATTATTTATGTATTTATAATACTAATTATAGAAATTAATTTCAGAAAAAGGTTGCGACAGCTTCCAAAGCTATCAGAAGAGGAAGTAGAATCTAGAATCTTATTGCAAAAAGAGTGGTCTAGATATAAAACTCAACAACATTTAAATAATGTTCAGATTATAGATTCTATATTCTATTCGCAACAGAAAGCACTCGATGAACTTAGAGCAGAATCAGAACAACTATATCAAGAAGCAATACACGTAATTATTTTATTTATCTAGGAAATTATAAAATCTGCATTGTTATTATATTTTTAATATTATAATATTAATATATTCATAATATACATCTATATTTTTAGAGAGATTTTAAACTTTTGCCATATACAGCTAAAGGTCCATTAAAAACGCCAGCAATAGAAAATTACGATAGTCCAGATGGAAATTATATAAATATGACTCGGAAATTTGATGGAGAGGAATAAGTTTGATGTGTATGAAGAGGATGAATTACACTCTGTCAGAAAATTCGTATGTAAATAAAGCATATATTTTCAAATCATTCATTGAGAAATGTGAATTCATACATTTAAGAATGTTATATAAGCTTAATACAGAATAAAGGAAGCAATAGCAAATATAAGATCTAATATAAGACGAAAAGAAAAAATAATCTTTTTTTCTTTCTTCACAAAAAAAGATCTATTGTTTAAATATGTAACAAATTATTTTTAAAAAAATGTTATAATATATATTGAGAACTTTGATAAAATAAGGATTTATTTCACTTGTTATACATTTTGAAAAGAGATGAATTTTTATTAGACTATATTTTATTTCAAATATGAGATAAGTGTAAATTATAGACTTTTATTTTATAGGAAATTTGTCTCAATATTATTTAATTTTATTAACATAAATCATATGTATAAGCTTATTTTATCACGAATTTTAAAAATAAAATTATAGCGCAAAACTTTGCAGTAATATTATTTAATTTTATTAGCATAAATTATATGATGTATAAGCTTATTTTATCACAAATTTTAAAAACCAAATTATAGCGCAAAACTTTGCAGCATTTTACTCTTTGCAAATTTCACTAATTCTATTAACAATCTTGCAAAATAATTTTCCATGAAATATTATAACAAAGTTATCTAAGTTCATAAAAAGAGAAGAGTGGAAATAGAGTATAATATACTTTGCAACACAGAGAGAAAGAATATTTTATAAATATACGTATAAAGAAGTTTGTAATTTTTTTTCGATCGATTATATTAACGCTACATTAACGAAAAATAGTAATACAAAGTAAGCGTATTTTCATTCGCCAGTTACATTAAAGTTATTTACGATTCATCAGCTCAGCCACGAATTCGATCGATGATAGTAAAATGTATGTCCGGTATATAATCCTAAACTATCCGGTGCTGCTGATCTATATCACAGTAATCTCTAAAGGAACATACATTCCAAGCGTTGCGAATATTATCCAGGTCCTATAACATCGCAAGCTTCTTTCTTTCATTGATTCCTTTCCCGGGCAATATAAGCTGTGTCTACAAGAAATTCTCCCGACTCTTAGGCATATTTAAAAGAGTGACACCCTTACCATAGTAAAGAATGTCGTAAATCTTTGGGCACCAACGACGTCATAAATCTTTTATGTACAAAAGATTTCTTTAAATCTTTTATATATATAAGTATCATTTTAAGTGTTCGAGACGTTCTTCCTCATCTTCGACGATATGTTTCGAAAGCCTTATAAATCTTTGGAGACGATCAAAAGAATATTTCTTCTTGTCGTTTAGTCGAACTTGAGCTCGCGCTTGCACATGGGACATTTGTCGCTCGTTTTGAGGCATTGTCGCAAACAGTCCGCATGAAAGAGATGATGGCAGGGTGTCACTCTGGCCTTGGTCATGCTGCACAGACACACCGCGCACACATCATCGAATTTCTCGATCTCTTCGACGGTCGCCTTCCGATATCGATTCAACATCTCGCGCTCTCGCCGCAATACCGCGCCTGAATTCTGCATTAGTTCCTTCCACCTGAGATATACGTTGAGATACGTGGCGACGATCAGGAACCTCCAGGAGGCTGAGGGCAACAGCAGAATGGTGAAGATTGCCGATATGGCAATTGTGAAACAGCGAAGTATCACCGGCGCGTACAGATTTTCGATGTTCTCCAGCGCTTCTAACTGCAAGAAGCCCAGAATCGTCGGAAACATCTCCACGAAGACCTTCTCAGTTGCCGAGTAATAGACCCATGTAACCACCGAATAAATCAACGAAGGTCTGCGAGATATATATGAATATTAAAGGCACTACAATATATGCGTTAAATAATGAAGGAATTTAAATATAGATACAAATTTAAATTATTTTTATAATACACGAAATAATAACAGAAATAAAAGAGAAATTAGAGGAATCATCATCTCTTAGATTGAGATAAAAATGAAATGTTAAACAAACTCTATAATTAATTAAATGAAAAATCAATTATAACGAAAAAGATAGTTTTAATATTTCTTAATTATATCTAGCGAATAATGGAGTTACTCACTTGTAATGATCAAGACCTTGTTCTAATCCAAACACGAGGAGCATGAAGGTCAACGTGACGACAAATGTAACTGCTTTGGTCCATTCTAGTACGATCTTGGTAGCAGACATGGCGAGATGCTTTATCTTGGATCTCTCGGTCAGGGTGACGTACGGCGACCAGTCCTCCTTTTGAATTAACTCCTTAATGTAACTTACGCAGTAGGCTATCACGTTGTAAAACATGAGCGTGTATAGGCAGGTCAATCTCTGTTGCGGCAACAGCACCTTGTCCGTTAATATCAAGAAAACTATCTGATTCGCCATCACGGAAAAGTTGCGCATTTTCAGGAAGAGATTCTCCGCGCGATCCACCGGTGCGTACAATCGTCTCAGGAAGCGGTTCAAGGGATGCCAGGCTTTCTTGGCTCCGCCTTCAACAATAATCATCGCGATACAATGAGAGATTCGATTTTATTTTACATTCATAATAGTAGAAATTGACTTATATAAGAGTTTTAAAAGAGGAACACGTTTATCAATATATGGAGATAGGAAGCAGTCTTAATTATCAGGAGGTAATGTAAATTAATGAACATAAGATAAATTAATGAAGTCTGTACGGTCGACTTAAATCCGCGTGTCTCATCACATTTTAGAGATATCAAGATTGGAATCATAATTCGAAGATATAAAATGGGAAAGTTCGAGTAAGCACGTTCAAGAAGAGGTGTATAATCAACGTAATTTATTTATACTTTTAAATTACAACGTTGAAAAAAGAGTTTCTTAATATATATCTCCAAATTATAACTTAAGAAGCGCGACTTGGAAAGGGCAATTTTTTTTTACGGTCATAACTCGATATCTCGTATATGCGACATGATGAAGTAACTAACGAAGAGACCGATGACTTTAATTTTCATATTGGCCTTATTCTCGCCTTTATACAAAAACGTTTACCTGGTTATTTATATCTACCGGTCGACAACTATCACAGATGATCGAGGCAAGCGATCGTAAAACCCGGTGGTTTAATCGACAATCATATTTTAAGAATATACAAATCGAGCATGTGACGAAGGCAATTCTCAAAAGTTACATCCTGCAGCTCCTGATCGATCGGACAAAAACGTTTATAGCCGTTCGCATAATTATCAGGGGAGATTATCATTAACGTTCGCGCCGACGAACATGCGGAGGCGAGCAAAAAGAAACGCGCAGACACGCGACATCTCGTTATTATTACGCATAAGAACACATTGATGTGCATTCGCCACGAGAGATCCTCCTCCGTTTTTTTTTTTCATCGTGCTCATCTTTCACTCTTTGAAGAAGAAAGAAAGAGAGAGAGCACATAGTACACGATACGAGCGCATCGCCGTGAGTGATTTTCCGGAGATGGACCCGAACAGCAGCCCCCGCTAGGGGTTTATCCAGAGAATGACAAGTAGCTGAATAAACGTGACAGGGCGTGCTTTACGTTAATAATTGCAAACTTGTTACCAGCTGATGCTGATGAACGAAGCGAAGGCGCGCGTGCGAGAAAGAGAGAGATAGAGGGGAAAGAGAATTTCCTTCGATCACCGTTAATTGAGTATAACGTAATCGACATGGCTTCGATGAATGATCGACTTCATTTTTAGTAACGAGTCCGAGCGAGAGATCCGGCGAAAGAAAATTTGCATATTAATGGACATCAGTCAGGACGAGTCACCGCGACGTGACGGCAGGACGAGACAAGGACAGGTGCTGAGGACAGCGACGGCTACGTGGAACCCGTAGGATCTCTTCACATGGCAACTGAAGGATGATCCATCCCCCATCGGGGATACCAGGACGGAGAGCCAAGAGGGCTCTCTGGTACCTATAAAACTAACGGTGTTCGGTCTTCAGTCGAGCATTGAGCGACTCGGTGTCCACACGGAAGGAATCGTCGATCAGAGACGAAACAACATCCGCAAGCAGCGAGGTGACTCCAGAATTCAGGTAAATACCGATAATCGCCATGATTTATGATAAATCCTCGCAAAATTCGCATTTTTCGGAAAATTAGAACGGATCGCATAATATTACTACTATACTGTTACGTGTATTTTAATTATTATGCCGAGTTTATGCCGTTAGGTTATCTTGAGATAGGCCTATTTAGTCGAGGTTTTGCGAATATTGAGACATTACTAGTGTATATTACTGTTCTATTACTGATGTAAAAGTTAAATATAAGATCTTAAAAATGAATATTATTTATGATTTTAAATGATTTGGATATCTACATATTTAAATCTTTTAGAAAAGAAGAGAAATTTCAAGAAGTTTATATATATTTTATATATATTCATAGTTTTTTAACCTTTGAAGCCTATATAATTAAACAAAACGCAATAAAAAAGAAAAGTTAAAAAACACTTTATTTCTATTTATTTACACTCTAATCTTGTGCCAAGGTCTTCTAGCCTAGGTCTTCTAGCTTTTCTTTTTTATTGCGTTTCGTTATCATTCGGACCGTATATTGCTTTTGTCATTCTATATAATTAAAAAATTATTTAATTTTTTAAAATAATTCTATGTAAAATTAAAGTTTATCGGTGCTAAAATTTGAAAATAAATCACATACTGATAATGGTTGTCAGAAGAATTAATTTTAAATTTCAAAAAAAGAAATAAAAAAGTGATAAAATTCTTACATATTACAAGAGAGAGAGAGAGAGAGAGAGAGAGAGAGAGAGAGAGAGTAGAATCAAAATTAAATCTAAATACAAGTCTCTTAGAAATTTTCTGCTTCTCTAAAATATTTAAACAAAAGATTTAAAGATAAAATCGGAAAGTTAGAATTAAAGTAGCAAAAAGAAAGAGAGAAGTTGAAAGTAACGGTAAAATATCTATTTTTTTATACCTTTGACTGCTATGATTTTAAATGATTTGGATATCTATATATTTAAATCTTTTAAAAAAGAAAAGTAATTTCAGAGAAATTATATATATATTTTATATATATTCATAGATTTAATCCTATATAATTAAAAAATTATTTAATTTTTTTAGATAATTCTATATAAAATTAGGTTTGTTGGTGCTAAAACCTGGAAACAAATCACATATATTGATAATGATCGTCAGAAGAATTAATTTAAAAAAATAAGAAAGTGATAGAATTCTTACATACTACGTAACTAGAATTAAAAGATTAAATCTAACAATAAGTACAAGTTTCTCTTAGAAATTCTTTATCTCTCTAAAAGATTTAAACAAAAGATTTTAAGATAAAATTGGAAAGTTAGAATTAAAGTAGCAAACAGAAAGAGAGAAATTGAAGGAAACGTTAAAATATTCATTTTTTTAATACCTTTGACTGCTTCGGCGAGAGTCTTCAAGGTTGGAACCGGGTACCTGTAATTTGCGCTTAAAACCACTGGTAACACAAGGGCTGAATATAAGACAGGCGCAGGCGATGGTAAAAGCGGCAAAGGACTGCGTGGACAATAAGGCAGAAGAAGGATTGCGCTTAGAAGACAAACGCTTTGCGCTGTCTTTTCCTTGTCCACTGTCAGCGAATTTGCGCGAACGCGGCGTCTTACTCTCGCTATCATGCCCATCTCCAAGTTGTCCTGAAAAATTACATATAAGCAAGGATCTTTATTAATTTAATATTTCTCCATCTATATATTAATATTTTCTATATATTAATATTTATATTAATATTTTCTCGTGAAAATTTGCATTGGATCGCAAAATAAAAGATCTAATTCGGGATGTCACGTCAAACGCTGATAAAAATGGAATATTAGATCTGAAAAAGAGTTTAATTTTAGATTAGAGTTTTTGGAGAATATTTAATTAAATATCGTCGTTTATAATTAATAGTTAATTAATAATTAATAATATAATTAATAATTAATTTCTAATAATTAAATCGTCGTTTAAAAAATATCAGACTATGAAATAAAAATGATCGAAATAAATACTATATTGCTAAGAATTTCGATCAATTAATTTCGAAAATCAATTTAAATTAATCGTGAGTTAATCGCGAATTTATAGACTTCGTTAATTGCTTAATGACAAGTTTGAGATGCCAAAAGAATTACTATTGAGCTCAAATCGCTTAGTGCAGCCAAAAGTCATTCGCGCGACGTGCTTTGGCAAGTTATCTATGTAGATCTTTAAATCTTCTGCATCTCTGCTTCTTGCTTCTCTATATTGGACGCTTCAAACTATTTCTGAACGCGAAAAATTCTCTTCACAAAGATCTTCGTAAAGGTTTATCTTTTTCTCTCTCTCTTTCTTAGAAGAGAAAAGCAATGCTTCCGTTTTGCGCCCACGATTTACACCGACCATCCTGTTTCTTCCTCTCTATGTGTTTATTCAAAGTCTGGTATGCGTGGCGTTTGTTGCTCTTCGAATATACGGCCTCTGGTCATATATTTTTCGACGTCTGAGGATAACCGAGACGATAATCAAACAACTTTTTCCGACTGATGCATTCTCGATTCGCGGAAATTTGTTCATCTTTTTCGAAAAAATTCACCTAACTATAAATTATAAAATTATTATCGAACATCTGGAATTTAATTACAATATTTTTCTGCAATTTCATAAATTTTTTCGACCAATTTTTTTATCCATATATAGTCTCTATTTTTTAAATATTAATTGTTATATTATTTATAAATCAGATTTCTTTTTTCTCTTTCATAAAATTCTCATGTTGCAACATTCGCGGTATTACACATCGAAAGACACGCGATGTCAGATGATTCGATGATGATCACATGCTAGCCAATGAAAACTGCGAAGACAACGTGGCACATTTGGCGCAAATTTTGGAAATCGCACTTCGTAGTTAACAACAATATCCCGGTCCATAAAACAAAATTCGCTAAAATATAGTGAAAACACAAGTCGCTTCTGAATAAGTACGATTTTATAATTTCAAATTCTATATTTTCTGTTCTCTTATTTTTATTAAAAATTTAAAAATAGCTAATTTTCGTTTTAAAAAATATAAAAAATATGAAAAATATGAAAATGAAGAAACATGGAAAACATTATATTCCACTATCAAAGCATATTTAATATTAAAATATATAAGTCATCTGGATTGTTTTTCCATGTCTATATCGAAGACTATCCGTATGAAGTAAATAAGACGCAGAATCAGATACCGCATTTAGCTCAAAACATATGATGGAAACTTCTAAATATGCAATCAACGCAGATCCAATGCAATCAGTCTTATGATACGTTCGCTTCTTCCGAAACATGTGTTTATTCTTGGTTTTTCATCAAATTTTTTTTTTAATAATAATTTATTATTATCAATTGATTTTAATTGATTCCTTGATCTTATATTTTATCAAGATTTATCAAAATTTAAAGAATCGCTGTCAAAAGAAAAGAGATACACTTTAATCTATGTTCATCAATATAAAAATATATATATTATATAATTATAAAAGACTATCTGTTTCTAATGTAATGCGATAACTATTTAATAATCAATTTAATTTCAATAATATATTTTCGATTGCTAAATGTCGATAGTACTTACTATCAAACTACGACGGAGAAGGCGTATTCAATTTTCCACAAGAAAATCGCGAACTTTGAGAGAAACGAAGGAATTTTCTCGCACTCCCTCGAAATCCTTTAGCAGTTCTTCAGTATTATCAGGTCCAAGTTCACACTTTCGAAGGATGCGTCTCTTCAAGATCTCACTGTGGAATGAATATACCGCTTCTTAGCTTGCATACGTCCAAAACGAATGCTAACTGGTACGATACTGACCGTCCTGTCGGTCTTTGTACCAGCGGAGCAATGAGACAGGGCATAGTGTGTGCGTGCGTATATGCGTGTGACAGAAAACGAGAGAGCTTGAGAGGTGAGAATGGTGCAAGAGAGAAGAAACACGATGATCGCAAAAAACGAGAAATAAATCAAACAAAGAGAGAAGAAATAAAATTCAAGAGTGTGGAGGAAAGATAAAAATACAATATAAAGATAAGAATAGTAAAAAAGATAGGGTAAGTGAAGAAGACACAAATAGAGAAAGACAAGAAGAGAGCAGAAGTGGAAAGAGGAGGTATAGAGATCTAGAGAGGGAGAATTTGGCATCGGTGTCGAGCAACGCAAATTTCTTCGGCTATTCTTAGCGAGCAGAGGCGCGATGTCGCGTCAGACGCGTTTTCCGATCTGCGAAAATTCCCTCACGGATTTTCTCTGTGTATCTTTCTGTGTAGAATGCGTGTGGGCCCTCATACGATCCGACTGAGTAACGAACACGCAGCTCTATGACCATTCACGTTTTCTACTTCCTGTAGATTATGAGTATTATTGTTAGAGTGATAATTTTTGAAAGCCTCATATATTTCAAAATTACTGTATAACTGAATATTTTTTATAGATTAACTTTCTTATTTCTGTCATCTATATATTTTACATTTTAGTCCATCAAAAAAATCATTATTAAATGATGCAATGCTAATCATTATTTAAAATGATGCAATGCTAACAATCTTACAATTTTATATCTATTAAAAGTTATGATCTTACGTAATTTTGTTATTTCACAAATTATATCAAAATCTTATCAAATATATCAAATTCCAGAAACTTTATTACTCGTTCACACTGTAGTAATATATAAAGTTATCGACATATATTTCAGTATTTGTTATTCACATATTTATTATAAATTTTCTTTTCCTACTCTGTAATGTGGAAAATATTTGCATCACGTGAAACAATAATGTAGAAATTTATGCATTTACATAAGAGCTCTGTTAAATCTATAAATAAAATATGAAATGATCTCGCGCAATAAGCTAAATTAAAAGGAATTAATATCTGCGAAGCATCAATGAGAATTCCGCGCGCTGAATTTCATTGTCTGGCGACGAGCGTCATTCACTACGGACGCAGAAAGTGACGATTATAGCTGATGATTCCGCTGGTTCCTAGTACCGATGATTGCGTAGAGACTATTGACAATTTTCACGACCACGTGAAACTAATTCCGGTGCAACATAGTGTCACGAAAATAAACAGTAGTCGAATATTTATATCTATAATGATATCATTTATGCGCGGAGGTTTTTTTAATCGGACATATATTTGCATTTTTAAGATATTCTGATTATTATTATTTAACATAAATATTGTATTCATAAATGTAATAAGATTACTCGGTACTGGTAATTTTGACATTTCTCTCGCAGCTCGTTATTTATACGGTATTTAATTCTTATCTTTTTGACACAATAAAGTGTATCAATTAAAAATTAAAAATTTGGATCCGTCCTTCGAAGATGCATATTTCACGTGTCATTGATCCGATTCTCGTGGTACGCGTGTTTTCGCTCACATCGAGGGAGAATCGGCCAGTCGCCGTCTGGGGAGCTAATTTTACGTCGTCTCGCAGCGAGTTTAGAAAGACTCGCGGTTCGACGCAGTGACCCACAATAAAGATGTAACATCTCGACAAATAATCGTAGATCACACACGTCCCGAAAAAGATATCTCTACGCTTGTGCGGCGAACAAAAGATTATCGAATATTAAATCAAATGTAGTTACGACGGATCTATCCGAGACAAAATATTTCGCAAGGCGCCAGCCATATCTACATTTCCATTATCTTATTATAATGCGGTTTTTGTGCAAAAACACGCTGATTGCGCATTCATCGACACGGCATTACTACGTGATATTAGAATCGCTAGATACGTTTGACACACAAATAACTCTTTAAAGAGGAGTTCGCGTAAAAATATGTTGTGTTGCAAAACTTTAAAAGTCTAAAGAGAAAATAACTACAAAATTGATGAATCAATATCCTTGGATCATATTTATTGTATTTTTCCAGACCTTTGCAATTTTTATGTGACAATGAAGAGATTATTATGCTTTGGAGCGACTCCGAAAATAATACACACACATATACATATAGACGAGAATGCAATTGTCACAAAATGGCAGACGAAAATAAGCTTATATGAAACAATAAAAGATAAAAAATAAATTCTTTATTGTTACACTCACATACACTTACAAAAAAAACATAAAGGAGGCCGCGAGATTCGCGGTCTATCAATGCTGAGTCAGCCAACACAGTTTCCTTGTTTTTGAACGAATGTTTATGGGAAGTTGTGTAGGAGGGAAGAAGGGAAGCCTTGTTTGGCGGAAAGTGGATCATGTGGTCGTATAAAATATTTGTATTTATTATTAGTACAATCAGATAGAACAAGAAGAATTTATTTTATTTTTATTTCAAAGAAATGATGTGCTTTTTCGATCAATGAACTCACAGAGAGTTTAAAAATCTCATTTACAGCTAAAGAAAATCATTTAATTACAATTATGAATGAAACAAGTAATTAAATCACAATCGATGCATAGTACTATGATTGTATTTCATTTGTCTACGAATTCTGCACTATCGCAGCTTACTTAGAACACTGCAATATTCCAAGAAACTAGTAATATTAATATGTTATCGCTATTTATTTATTTGCAGCAGACAAATATCGTTAATTAAAATATTCCTTATCTCATTCTTACTCATCACATCGTAAGATCGCAAAAGCTTTCCAGCTTAATCCGATATAAGTTTCTCAGCATCTCCTAATTACTGTTAATTTATTTTGATCGGATTTTTCACAAATCTCACACTATTCTAAATTCTCTTAACAAATTCGAAAAGAAAATAATTTTTTGAATAATTCAAAAAAGATTTCAAAACGAGATTTCGAATCACATATGGGTATTTGTCTTTATTATCGGTTCAAGCCGGTAGTCTTTGCCCCCGTAGAGTCACGGAGGCTACGACTAAATCGTTTCACTATATGTAGAGTGGGGATCCTCGATGTGGGACATCAGTTTTGCCTGTTTAATTCGCGAGACGAGTCGCCGACGCGAACGCTTTTCCACGGCTCTCACATCGCGATATTATTATCATTATTATCATCCTCATTATCATAGCTTGGTTTAATAAACATTATGTAGTCGCGAATACATATTATAGATATCATCATAGAAAAATTAATTCAATGCTGACACGATTGATTTTTCATTCGATCGCTATTAAGGTGCCCAAGTTAGAGACTAAAGTGCATATGCAAGAATCTCTTGTGTGTTGTGTTCTCTCTCTTTGATGAGTTAATTAAAATCTATTTATTCGATTTCTTAATCCCTAAGTGTATGTCTTATACATATATATATCTTTTAATGGATGCAAAAATTTTTCTGATCTTTCTAAAAATAATTAGATCTTATCAAATAGTTACAGCATTGGATATTTCATAATTATATATTTTTTTTTGTGATATATATTTTGATACATATATACATATATACATACATACATACATACATACATACATACATACATACATACATACATACATACATACATATATACATATATACATACATATATACGTACATATCTCAAGGAACTCGTTATCATATCCGATCCACCATAGCAGCACATGATATACGGCGATGAAAAATTGATTCCAAGACACACGATGAAGTCGATATTTCGTAGACATTTAATATTTCCGGACTGGCGTGTCGAACTGCTTTTCATAATGCTAAGACATTAAAGAGGGTGATTGAACTTGGTAAATGAAAAGATTATTTGCATTTATTGTGTTACGATAATGGAGATTTTACGAGAGAATCGCTCATTATTAAAATAGAATTACATTTCTCTTAATAAATTATTCATTATTATTTTATTATTAAATATTTTCTAAGAAGCAAATTATTTTCTATAAAACGCTATTATTTTCTACTAAAGAAGTAAAATAGGTGAATAAAGTGAAAGTCATTGATATTTAATGTGTAATTAATTTATTAATTAAGCTAATCACTGTAATCCAAGACTGCTTTTTGACAATTTTAAATTATATAAACACTGGAAAGAACAAAAAACTTTAATAAAAATGTCAGAAAGTTTATAAAACTTTCGACAATAACCAAGATATCATCATAAATAGAGTGATAATGGAGAAATAATAATAAGAAGGAATAATAATAATAATAATAATAATAATAATACAATAATATGCTTTAATAATTTATTTAGGACAAATTTTATTCTTTCTCTTTCTCTCTTTCTTTCATTTATACTCCGTCTTTCGAAACATGTATAAATTTATTCAACCAATTATAAGAATTGCTCATTTTAATCATTAAGACGAAGTATTTGCATAAATAAGAGAAAAGAAGAAATAACAAAAAATCATATCCCATACAGCACAGACCATTGTTGTTACATTGCAGCAACATTGCAGCAAATTGTTACAATGTTACAACAATGGTCTGTACTGTATGGGATGTAAAAAGATGATGATTTAAATATATAAATGCATTTCCACGTTTTCTGAAAAAAATTATCGATTAAATATTTTATATATGTACGATTTCATATAAAATTTCATATTGAAAAAGTCATTAGGAGTTAATGCATCTCTGTTTCAGACCGGTGAATTATCATGCTTACCTTCCAATTCACTCACGCGATCACTTTTCTGGCCGCAATCTTTCTGTAAGTGTTAATAATAGATCAATGGTAGAGAAAGTCTTGCCTAAATTACAATTAATGTAATCTTAATACGGTATTTCAGAATCGGCAAGTGCTACGCTCATCCCACATCCCGACGACAAGAGGTGAGACCTGCGTTGTGTGTTGGCTGCGGCACCGAATGTGATAAATGCAAGTTTGGTTTCGTAATATCGGCTATTTGCGGTATCGCCGAATGCCGACGAGTAAGTAACAACATCAATTAACACAATTGTATTTTTACTCATTATCATAAAAAGTAATTATTCTTAAAAAATCTCGCCAAATAATTGTATTGTTGGAATTCAATTTCAAAGGATGAAATTTCGATGTTCAATTCATAGAACTGAAGATAAAATCGAAATTTAATTGTTCAACTAATTTTTTGAGATACACTTTCTGAAATTTCTTCCCAAAGTTAAATATAAATCTCATGAATATAATCTTTATTATCGATCTCTCGTTGACGTCATGTTTCTTTTTGAGAATTCGCGAGAGACAAAAATCTCGTCGCGTTCTTTCGCCATCTTATCGGCGCCGCTTTATAGGGTCCTGGTGATATTTGCGGCGGTCCAAGCGAGGCCTGGGGCGTATGCGGCGACGGATTGATCTGCAGTTGCAACCGATGCGCCGGCTGCAGTCTGGATTCCCTCGTGTGCTTTGCGAATCATGCTTGCCTGCCCCATCAGAGCCTGGAATCGGGAAGCCATCTCGATCTCTTCGAGAGATTTCCAAGTCAATTCGACAGAGTTGCCAAGTAAACCAAGAAAACCCACAATCCATAAGCCGCTCTGGATAAACGAAAAGGATGACGGATGGATGATATGACGAATGAGAAAAACGAATGTGAAATTAGAGAGAGAGAGAGAGAGAGAGAGAGAGAGACAGAGAAATGCGAATATATATTAGCGATTTTCCGAATTATTTATTACATTTCACGATATCTATAATCTCATTAAGTATCCACGATTGTGATAGATAACTCGTCGGGGCCCGGGTCTCTATTCCCTTCTCGTGAGACAACGGTGCCCCTGTCCATGTTTAATGGCATTTCTGTGATTTTTTAATTACTGTGTTAATTATCGTGTTCTATCTACGCACGCCTCAATGAAACGCGGTTGCGCGCGCGTGAACGAGCGTGCGTCGCCGGCTAGCTTGATCTCGTGAGATACTCGATGAATCATCGCGCATTGATGATTCTTGGCTGTGAATCGCGTCTCTCGCGGAATACGCACGCGAGGCGATTACTGAGTCCTCCATGTTTCCACGCGAATCCACCATAAAGGTTTCTGCCGAAAATCGAGAGCATCGTCAATCGAAACGCACGCGGACACGGGAGAAAATATCGTAGATAAGACGAATGAAGAGAAGGAACTCTCGTGCTGACCATTAAATATTATCGATCTAAAAATTTTGATATTTCTTTGGTTGTTCGCAGAAGTTGCTCCACTTTTACGTATTCGTTTCAGTTATACGATTTTTAAACATCTTTTTCCACGTTCGTTTACATATTAAAATATTATTAATATATCTATATATTGCGTCTTTATTTATACATTATTATTAATATTTGATTATCAAATATTAATAATATTATTATTAATATTATTATTATTAATATATTAATTATTATTAATATTATTAATATTTGATAAAAAATGAGAAGAACTATTTTTTCGTTTCCGCATATAATTTGTTTTATATTTTTATTTCTTTGACTAGTCATTCGTGAGCATCTTAAAAACACAACGTACTTCATGTAGCTCTCGATATTTTTGCGGAGACCGATCGTGAATGTTTGGTGAACGCCATCCTATATAACGGGCAACAAAATAAAATTGGCTGCATATGTGCATTATTGATATTGATTTACCTTCTTACCTCTCCTCACTCAAATAACTTTATTTATGTGCTCTTAAGCGGAATGACAGTACAATAACAGATAAAATAAAATATTTCTTCATGATGAAATAAAATGATTTGTTTACAATGATAAATGAAAATAGCTTTTATGTCTACGACAATGATGAGTGCATCAAGTTTTCATGTTTCCTAGATTTTAATTTATATATGTATATTTATATGTTAATTTATATATGTATATTTTTTTTATTTATACATATTCTTTAAATATATTTATTAAATGCATCGATTTTTTTTTAGAGAAAAACTTGTCACTGATATTAAAATTGAAAATTGTATCGTGTATTTCGATGAAAGCCTTTTTTCATAATCAAGTGCTGCCATCCAGAAATATTAGCAAGCTGTTGCTTTCTCATCGGATAACAGCTTTCATGTTTTTCTTTTTTTTAATTTTAATACATGTTAACATGATACATATGCATATAATGATTTTGTTTGGTTGTTCATCAGTTAAAAAAATAGCAATTGTATATGCAATGAATACAACATATTCAGTATTAAATGAATTTCAATTATCCTTTCTCAGTGTCCAAAATATTAATAGACAGTGTCCAAAATATTAATGTATTAGAAGCATAAAAAATAATTATTATAAAGATTAAAGATTTATTATCCATAAAATCAAAGCAAAATTATGAAATATAACAAGAAGTATATATACAGCTATACACTATTCATTATACAAATATATATATGGTTTATCGACAAGATCCACATAGATACGAAATTACAATATAGAAATATTTTTAGCCTGCATTATTCAAATTATCATAATAAGCTATTACCTTAATTATATCGCAATAAAATTGACATGAAATAACAAGAAAAAAATATTTCAACAAGTTCATATAATCATTTAACTAACTTCTATCGCATATATATATGCACATTGCTTGCTTTCGTAAAACAATGTTTTTTATTATTGCTTTTGTCCTTATCGTCATCGTTTATCGTCATCTTTATACGAAATTCAGAGTAGGAAAGATCGAACAAAGTAAAAATAATGACAAAATACAAAGGTTGTTATGAAACAATGTGTCATTAGTTATCATTCATTAATTCTGGAGACGTATTCGATAAATTTCACGAAGCTTGAGTCCAAAAATACACAGTGTTCCAAAAATATACATATGTCAAGCATCGTGAAGATCAATTGATTCAATTAAAAGTTGTTTCTTCGACGCTTCCAATCCAATTCTCAGATCTCCTCCGAGTACACGAACGAATCCACATATTACTGAAAAATAAATAATAGATGGTATGAGAAAAAGTATATTGAGATAATCGAAGAGAACGCATGCCAGAGAATTCGATGCTAAGAATTTAAGGGTCAAGGGCTCGAGGCGCGCTCGGTGTTATATATAAACCGCGTTTGTAAAAGCCACATCCAATGAGATGTCGCAGATGCACACATGTTGCAGCTGTTTACATTTTCCTTCTGCAGTTAATGAGTGCTGATTAATATTAGCACGCATTTGTCGCGATCATCGCGAGCTATTACGCTTCAAAAATAGAATCTAGAAAACAATATTTTTTTATTTTATAGGTAATTCTCGTTATATTTAATCAAACAATTGCTATGTCGATCATGCAATGTCTGAATAAAAGAAAATATTAGATAATGTTCATTATGTGATACACAACTCTATTATCTCTCCTGATAAATCTCTATTATATTTCATTATAATTACTTTCAAACAAAGAGCAAGTTTAATAAACTTGAAAATTCTTTAATAGAAAAATTTATCATTTCTGAAAACATTTTTTTGATAAATTTGTTTGTTGACTTTTTATTATTCTATTATTTGTGTTTTAAATATTTACTCACACAAGCCATGCTACAAAACAAAGTATTTTTAGTCGAACAAAAATTAGGTAATAGATACGTGGAAGTAATTAATATCAATATGAACTAAAAGAATTAAACCTTTTATATTTATGATAAAAATGTATAATTTTTAATAATTAGTTATGCAATTATATATATATCAAAACATAAGAAAAGAAAAAAGTTAAATTAAAGAATTCTTACGTCTTTTGCTCAATCTCTCAACAAACACATGTATCAAACAGCCATAAATTTATATCAGCGCAATCATAAATAAGAAGCACCTTTAATATAACATCGACGGCCTATATTATCCTTCATCCAACGGGAAAAGATCAAAAAGTACAGCCTATTGGCCGTTCTGTTTCAGCAACTTCCGCGTCTTGAAGCCACGGAAGCCGGCCTGGATCCTCGTCGCCGCAGCCTGAACAGCTTGTTGTCTCTTCCGTACCAGGAAACCGCGGATACCCGCCTGGATCTTGGTCGCTGATTTCTCCTCAAGTGCCTCCCGAGTGTCCTGTCTCTTGAAAAGATGGTCCTTCGACTTCGGATGCTCCTGCTGTTGTTGATTCTGCTGCTGATGCTGCGACTCCTGATGCTGTTGCTGCTGACTCTGACGACGACGTTGCGTAGATTCCTTCAACTGCTTGCGCACACGATATCCGCGAAAATTGGCCTGGATCTTCGTCGCTGCCGTATTGGCCTTCATCTCATCGGCCTCCTCCTTAGGAGTCTGCGACATGAACGGAGTTTTAAGACGATCACGCGAAAAAGCTCCGTGTCTTTCGACCGCTAAAATCCGTCGATCCAAATTTCTTAAATCATTCCATGAGGACTGATTCCGAAGAAACGTCGAGATGTTTGTTGAAATTACTTATAAATATTGTTTTCGGAGAGCACGTACGTATCTTTGGCTTACAAAAATCGATCTCAAGAACAGAAATAATTTAAAATTATTCTTGATTGCCTGTGAGATCGCTTCTTAGAAAACAAGCTAAATTCAGGATTTTTTCTATTAATCGGAAATCGATCGAAATTGATTCAAAATGAATCAAGAGAGTTTAAAAGAGATGAAGATTTCCTAGATTATTCTTCAAAGTTTATTTTAAAAGGCAAACTTGGGTAATCGTGAGAGCGGAATATTCCCTCGATTATTTATAATTCCACCAGCGGAAGTAGGACAAACTTTAGGATACTTCCAATCATCTATAAATATCGATGCCAAAGTGAAAGAAAGAGCAGCTTCTTCCTTTCTGAAAATTCTTCAAGAAGGAAATCACCTCAATATTTCGTTTTAGGAATTGATTTGAAAAATCGCACTACTATGATTAAATGTAAAAAATAGCGAAGCAATCGCAGAAAGCAGAATCTTTCAGTAGCGCAGACCGATTGAACGATCTTCACAATGATCCATAAGTATTGATTAAAGAGAACAAACGAAGTAAATCCTATCTTTTTGATTCTTCAGGATTAATGTTAAAATGCAATTTTTCACAGGAAAAGATTCAAAGATGAGAACGATTGTTCTTCCGATCCAGCACTCTCGCTCACTTCCGATCTCACTATGATCTCTATCGCGCGTCCTCTTGTCTAGAAGCGAAATAGGAAACTGACGTGTAACGGATGCATGACAAAGAGTCTCGGCGATCGTGCTTGTCCATCTCGAACCTAGGATGGATTTATCGCGCATGCGTTCTGTGATGATACCCCGCTGCGAAAGCTCTCATTTTCCACGTCGTCGATCGCGTTACATCTTATTCAGCGCGTTCGAGAGAGAATGGTTAATTTCGTGTAAACTTGGCAGAGAATGAGCATAGACCTTGTTGATAATCGTGGCATGGCTTTTGTACTTAAATGATAGCTAGAAATGAACGCTAACTAATTATTTATCTTATAAATAAAATTAAAAAATATGCAATTCAAACTTTTATTATATTGCGTCTCGAATAGAATCATTCCTATTTTTCGAGAGACAATTTCCACTTAATTTATATATTTAAAAAAATTTTATATCGTTTACTCTCTTTATAGTTTGGAGAAAGTAAAAAATTACATGTGGAATATTTCGAACTAAAAGATCTTCGCAACAATTACATATATGAAACTTTATGCATCAAACATCGAAGCATGTTTTCATCACAACTTTCATGTTAACTTCATTTTCCCTCAATTATTTGTTTTATATTCTGTCAAAAGTATAAAATAAATAATTTAATTTACGAAACTTTAACACACCATTTACAAAAATAAATTTAGATATTTATATTCGTCTACTTGCGATTTGATTAATCTCAGCGAGCAAAAAAATCTGTATTAAAGGGGGACCTCGCAAAGTGTCCGTAATATCATCACCCGGGCACAGCATCAATTTCGGTCTCGTGAGTGCGGTTGACGCGCGCGTCACAGTAAATTCGTCGTCCTGAGGCCAATATACGTTGATTGATGATTGATGGTCGCGAGAGTGTCGACGAAAGTCCGCGGACGCACGCGCGCGCAACCGAGAGCATTCCAATTTGTTTGCGTCCGCCGTTTGATCTCGGGCATATTCGCGTATAACGCTTCCCTCATGCTCATCATTACGAAAATATACTCGTTCGAACGATATACGTCGTTCAATCGGCCAGTCCGTACATCGATAACGATCCCGCCCGTGAATCTCGCGCATATTCGCGTCACGTCTTATTTTCCTTTAACCATCATATATTTAGCACAAATATATCATGCAAATCATATCACAGTTAATTCTCACACACTGCTTTGTTTTTTAAATTCTATTACATCATGATATGTAATTATAAAATTAAAAGACTAATAATTTCACTTTTTTAAGCTGGAGCATAAATGTATATGTTGTTCGCTTATTATACGAGGATGTCATTTTAATCCGCATAAGTTTTATGAAAAGATAATATCTCAGTTTTATATAGGTTTTATAATTTTATAAAAGTATACAAAAAGAATAGGGAGGAAAATTACTGCACTATACAATAATATCAGCAGCAACAAAAATTTGCAAAATGCAATACAATGAATTGATACGGATATCCATTATTAAATTAAAGACATGTCTGAAGAGAAATTAATTTTAACTAGTTTGAATTATCAAAATTCTTTTGTGAGATAGTGCAAAAAAAAGAAATTCAACGGAAAGCCACATCGTTTATTTTATTTTATTCTATTTCATAGCAACCTAAATAAAAATATAACAATATAAGAAAAAAAAATATATATATATAAAATATGTTATTAAATATTAGTAATATATAAAATATATTATTAAATAATTTATTATAGAAAAAATGTTATATGTAAAAATTAATGTGCAATTTAGATCCTCTAATAAATTTTTTGAAATGCTGCTACCTGTCTCACAATTTGCGACTCGCGTTCGCGCTTTTGCTGACCTTGCTTACCTCAGATACCGGACGTATCAAATACCGGACGTGACAAAGCTGCAGAGCAATCACTGACAACTATCGGCAAGCGCGACTGATTCTCCCGAAGTGGCAATATCGTTTACACACGGAAGCGAACAATATACACGACGACAGAGAGAGCGGCGACAGGTCGCGGTGATGTCTACGCGCGAGTGACCGCGGCGATGGCGACGACGACGACGACGACGATGCCGATGCCGATGCTGTCGTCGCGACGCCCAATGACGTCACTGCGACGTCGTTCTCTTACCTTGGATCCCCGCTCACTGAATGCTCGCGACGATCACGATACTGATTTCTCGTTCCTCTCGTTTCTCTCTCTATCACGGCGGGCACTAAAAATATGTATCAAGGTCCGTGTACCCGAGGTCCGTTTGCATTCCGTGTGATCGAAATGCAAAACATTGCAGGCTCGAGATTCAGAGCTTTTTTTTATTATTATGGACACAATTAATGATCGCCATGTCTGGAAGATGACCTTAATGATGAAACTTCGTCTCTATGTTGCATTTCTCAGAGAACCAATAACTAAAATTGATAGCAATATAATATAATATTCAGAAATGACTAAGAGATTACATTTTTTTTATCCTCGCAATTTGCGATTAATTCATAGTACTATTGTGATGCATAAACAGTATTATAATCATGCAATGTAAACATCGGGAATATCTTATCACTGAGTATAATGCTTTTTAACTTACGGTTATCTCTTGTAGTTGTGTGATATTGATTGAAATTATTAAATATTTTTTATACGTGAGATATAGATGCTAAAATGATATAGATTCTAAAATAAAAATAAATCAATATAATTTATCATATAATTTATTACTGCTTTATGCAGCATTTATAAAGATATATATTTCCAAACTATATGTAGCGGGAAGAGATCGCTCGCTTGTATTGTGTAGTACAATTGCAAATCCAAAACTCGTTGCATTTATGTGTATTAGTAACGTACATTTTAAAATTATTCCTGAGAGATAGTCTCTATTCATCCTCTATTATTCTCTATTATTCCTATATAATCGAATTAAAAATTAAAAACTCTAAATCGTAGAAGTTAAGAATAATGTTTCCTTGCAAAATTATCCTAAAATAATGCATGCAAAGTGAAAGTACATTGATAATTATTATCTCACACACAAGCGACGATCTTAATTGAAGGAACTAATCGTGCCGTGCTTCGATTCACTCCATATATTTTCATAAATTTATAATTCACGTTTTTTCATTCTTCTCTTCTTCCACGCGCTCATGATTGTCGCAAGAGACTTCGCTAGATTCTTTTTTCGCATCTTCGCTATGCGAATCGTCTTCTGAGATGCCCTCAAGGTGCTTGCAATCAGACTTTTGTTTTTCGGTCTCTCCGTCTATATGTTTCCGGTCTTCCATTGCATCCACGATCCTTGGCGATGTTCCTAAATCATTCTTTTCGTCCTCGAGGGTACATTCCTCCGATGGCACCGAGCTATTTGTATCTAACGAGGTTTTCGACGTGATCGACGGTTTTGACGCGGACTCCGATGGGACAAGTTCAGTTTCCAGACTAGTTACTTCCTCAATCACGACACCCTGAGGAATGCCCGGAAGAGCTAGAGGTTCCCTGATGCTACCTTCGCCGGAAGTTGTCGAAGGATGAGCATCGTCGGTATTTTTCGAGCACTTTATTGTGTTGTTTAGAGATAAAGAATCCATGTTACAGCCGAGATCCTCGACACTGGTTATGAAATTCAAATATCGATTCTCATCATCTCTTGGGTAGCCTAACATTAGGATATCCGCTAATGTCGGTTCCGCAGGTTTCGCTCCTCCAGCATTTGTATTAAAATCAGGACGGGAATTCTGACTGACTGTAAAGTGGCAATTGCGAGATGCATCCGCTAGAAGATGCATCACGATTGGAATAGTCGAATGATCGGTAAATATGTTGCCTTTTTGAAAACTTCCTCCGTGTTTATCATCGTGACTGTACAAAATAACAACATAATTATATTTAATATATAGTAAAAGATATTTATAAAATAAAATTTATACGTTCACGACACTATCTATTTTATGATATATTTTAATACAAGTTATTAGGAAGAGGATAATATTTAAAGCATTCTTAATTTCTTTTATAATAATTACTTACACGGAATTGTTCTCGTCGACATTAGATTTTGCAATATCAGATTGATTAGTTTGTTCTGCATCCTCCTCAATCACTTTATTCAAAAATTCGTCCGTGGTTAAATTATCCTTACGATAAATTGGATCGAAAAGAGCCAACGGCACAGAATCGTGAAATTCGCCGGTATGTTGAAGTCTACCTGTAGCGAAAGCGTTCTCCAACGAGAGAGTGGTATTTCGTAGAGCTTCCTCTCGTCGAAGACGTTGCCTTCCAGTTTTGACTTCTCGCGAACTTGAAGAATGTGGTACCGTTAAATGGTCATCCTAAAAATTAATAATCTATTGAATTATTGATTATATCGTTATCTTTTTTTAATATTAAGAAATGAAAGACATATTCTTTCCAGAAAGAGAAATACTGTCCCTAGCCATAATTATACTTTAATAATTACACTTAATTATACTTAAATAATTATATTTAAATACATAATTACTCTTATTAAGGGAAACATTTAATAAATATTTAATTAACATAATTTTAAATTTTATTTTAAAATACAAAATTGAAGGAAATCTAACAGAAATAATATTTGTAAAGTCGTGGACGTCAATTCGAATCTAAGAAACAATTATTTTAAGGGACCAGCGCTCTCGAGATGCATTTGCCAAGTTTATTACTGCCAAATGCCAAACCGCCTGTTGCAATCACGAAAACTGCTGACGTTTAGCAGTGACCTGCTACTTCCTCTTTTACGTAATATATTTCCGGCGGGCGTGGTGTACAAAATATTACGTTCAGCTATTCGACTTTACAAAACGAAGGAAAATCAATAGATTCAAATTCGAGGCTTAGTTTCAACATATTAAATAACTGCATGCAAAATTACAGTATATATATATAAATATTTGAGAAGGCCTTATTAAAGGTTATAATATATATAAATATTTTTGAGAAGGCCTTATTAAAGGTTATTTATTATATAATTTAAAATAATCCTTCTCTTCTCAATTATATAATTTTTATATAAAGTTTGCAGTTGCGTTCAGCAATGGTTTTTATTATTATCCAGTCTTAAAAAAGTCATTAAATCGATATTATAATAGATAATCGATATTATATATATATATATATATATATATATATATATATAATACAAATTATTATATTATTATATTTATTTAAATTTAAGAAAATTAATAATAAATTTAAAGTGAAATTTAAGATTTTATTAAAAATTAAATTTGTTTATTTAAAAAAAATACGTAAATAGGAAAAAATAGGTAAATAAAAATTTATATATTTTTTAATTTATTATATATATAATTATTATACTTACTATATCTATTTTCTGTGCTGAAGAAATATTGTTCGAAACAGATTTTGAGCTTGCATCTTCTTTCATGCGACGACGCATTAAAAATCCTCGTAAACCTTCACAAAATTTTATTACTTATTCTTTTATCATTTCTTTAAAAAAATTAAACTTATCGTAATTATCTCAAAATAATATTATTCTATCTTTCAGTTTCGATAGAATTAATAATCCTCGAACTTGTCTTTTTTAAATTTTACTATGTGACTTGAATATATCAAAAGATAAGAAAATTAACAATCAATTGTTTACACTGTATGTATGCAAACGCAATATAATTAAAATATCAATTTATAACATAATTTAATTAAAATTACATTACTTACAAGCTTGGATTTTTACAACTGCCGAATGAAAATCATCTTCTTTCTGAATAAGCGATTCGTCTTGGATAATTTCTGGCACATTAGCATCAGGCTCCATTTCTTCGTTAGAAATAGAAGTTCCAATTACTGTTTCCACAGTTGATGATTTCGTTTCCGTAATCCAATATCCTCCATGAAAATGATCTTTCGTCGATTGTTCCGATATTGGCTCGTGAATATTCTGTATCTTTGCTGAAAGATCTTCAGATTTTTCGATCTCATTATTTTTCGTTTCTTTTTCTGTCTCATCATCAATGATCAATTCATCACAAATAATTGGCTCAGTCTCTCCTTCATCGTTATTATTCGTCGATTCGTTTATTGAGCCTTTTCTTGACTCTGTTGCTTCCAAAGGTATTGTTTTTATATCGACAATATTTTCTTCTAATTGTAAATTTTCGTGATTATCTGTTTCTTCGATTTTTAAATCTTCTTGCGTGCATTTCTCCGATTGTTCTTGCTGGCATTCTTCATCTATTTCTAACTTTTCTTGTTCTTCTTTTTCCTCAACTTCTAATTTTTCTGGCTCATATTCTTCCCTATCTTGCACTTCTTCATTTTTCTCTTGTTCATGCAATTCTTCAATTTGATTAATATTTTCGTTACTTTGGCTCTCTACAACTTCCTCAATATTTGTTTGACTATTTTCAAGATTTTCCTGATTATCGGTTGAAACTGTATCAGTGTCAAGCTTATTTTCGACTGTAATCTTTTCTTCATCTGTTTTTATTATTTGTGTATCATTGAGTTCTAGTAATTCCTGCTCAAATTGTGCTAAAGGTGCAACATGCGTAATTTCTATACCATCTTTTTCTTCCACTTGCAGTTTAAGTTCTTCAGTTTCATTGTCTCCTAATACAATATTCTTATCTTCGCTATCTTGTTTGATATCTTCCATTTGGCTAGATAATTCATTAATTGTTTCAGTCCTTGTAATTTTATCTAATGTTTGAATTTCCTCTGAAGAAATTTCATGTTCTCCTTTTTCCTGTTCATCAACAGATTCCAACAAAGATTGATTAGGTTTGTCATTCATATTTAAACTGCTCTTCTCAGATTCTTCGTTCTCTTTAGATTTTTCTTCCAACGCTTTACCGTAAAGTTGCATATCTTCTTCTAGCGAGCCTATCAATTCTCTCGCAATCTCTTCCTCATTGTCTATTTCTTTTTCCATCTCCTCATCTCGTAAAAGTGGGCCAACTACAACAACATCTTCCGGTAAAGCCTTTAAACCAATACTGTTTTCTTGAGATTTCACTTCGTCCTCTAAATTGGTTTCCAGAGATGATGAATCCTTCTCTAGCCACTCATATTCTGCATGTTCCGCTTGATATAATTGATCGGCCTCCGGAACTTCCGATCTTAAACTTTCCATGAGCTCTTCGGCAGCAATATCTTCTTCGCGATCAGCTAAAGTCGGCTGGTTCATTAATCTCTCGTCCGAAATCAATGGCTCGATCAAGGACGTCGTGGTGTCGCTTTCCCTAGGACTGTCATTGTTCTCTTTCGTTACTGTTCCGTTCGCCGTCATTTTAAAGGACGATACCGTATTATCTTGAAGAGAATCCAGGTTCAACTCTGGCACTATTGGCCTGTCCAGACTCGGACTCTCGATCGATTGATTGCTCACGGTACTTTCTTTCACGTCGCTTGATGTGATTGTGTGGGTATCCTGCGTGCTTCCGTTCTCTTCCGATGAATTCTCCATCGTGTCCCGGGATTCTACCACAAGATTCATGTTTTCTTCATCTATCAAGCCAGTATCTGCCATTAATTCCACGATATCGAGCGAAGAATCATATTTGGAAATTTTGCAGGAAATTTCCTCAGCATCCTTGGATTCAGAAGTCATTTTCATGCTAGTTTCTTCATTCTCCTCGTGTTCCACGATGCCTTCCAAAATCACAGGTTTCGTCTCTTCTTCATGTATGATTGGTTGTGTATCATCTTTTTGCTCTCGAGGAGTCTCTATCTCTTCTTTTTCAACGTCTTTCGTCTCTTCTTCTTCACCCTCTTCCTTGATCTTGTCCAAGTCCTGATGAGCGATTATTATCTGACTCGACTTTACTCCTCTCATATTATGCACGAAATCAATATCAGGCAAAATATCGACTTCCGGTTGGATATATTCGCCGAAAATTTCCATGCCATTTTTATTTTCCTGTGTTTCACTCTTTTCAGCGATATTAGAATTGGTATTAAATGATTCTTTTTCATTCGTCGATTCAAACTGATAATTCTCATCCTCTAGAGTCGCAGGAGATGAATAGTGTCTATCCGGAATAATCACGGTTGTCACGGAATCAGGTATCTCACAAGGAGAACCCTCGCTCAGAACGTATGAAAACGGAAGTTCTAAAGAGAGTGACGTTGTTGGACAAGAATCGATTTCGCGTTTTTTCCGCGCTTTCGTCGCTTTCGCAGTATTTTCATCTGGAAGATCTGTTGCTGAGATTTCTCTTTCGTTCGCAGCACTTTCGCAAGCTACAGTCTTGGAAAATTCATTTACCGTATTATCAGCTTTATTGTTAGACGTTGTTACATTATCATCGTCTGTTTCACAAACAGCTGCTTGACTCTGATCATCATTGTTTTGTGATTTTAGATTTATAGACTGTGCATCTTCAGTTTGAATTTTAACTGTTAATTTTTCCACATCAGTTGGTGACTTTTCGTTTATCGATCTTTCATTTTCATTCGTTGATTTTTCGTCTTCAGATACTTTGATTACCTCTTCTGCTGCTTTTGTTAATATTTCCTCTTGATTTGTCACTTCCACTTCATTTGTTAATATTTCTGTTTCATTCAATTTGTTTGACGATTTTTCAATTTTGTTTACTGAAGTTTCTGCTTCATTTGTCGTATTTTTCATTTCATTCGATGATCTCTCTATTTCCTCTTTTACTTCATCCTCCGATTTTTCTGTTATATTTAATAAGTTTTCCTTCTCATTCATCGATATTTCTATTACATCTTTAACTTTTTCTATTTCATTTGTATTTTTTCCCTCTTCATCATTTCTTTTTTTTTCTTCGTCGTCTTTATTCGTTGATATTTTTTCCGCATCCGTCGACTTTTCTATCTCACTCACAGTTTCTTCCATCTCATCAGCCAACTTTCCTACGTCATTTATCTTCCCGTCAATCATCGACTTTTCCGCTTGGCTCGTTTCTTCGCCAGAGTCATGCATCACGAGTTGTTGGCCAGCCAATGCCATCTCGATATTTCGTTCTGCCATCTCGATCTCGATCAACTTGTCCTTCAGTTCGTCGAATGTGTTAACTCGCGCAAGATCCACATCGTCGTTTTGAAGTTTCTTTTCCTCATCGGGTTCCAGCGAATCCGGTCTTGGTGGCATATCTACCACTTCCGGCGTGACGTTTAAACTGTCTTTGAAGATTTCTTCCATCTTCTTTCTTTCCAATTCCTCATATTCCTCAAGACTTTCGCATTTCTCAATAAATTGTTCTGGAATATTTTCTAGAAGAACATCATCCGTATCTTTATCTTTTTCATGTTTTTCCGCATCAAAAATGTCCGAGACTGTGCTCGATATTAAATCAGTATCGAGGTCCTCTTTTGTATCTACAATCACTTCTTCCTGATCTTCTGGAAGGATCGCTATATCTTCTATGTCATTCGTAATGTCATGCATTGTTGAGGCTTCCTCAGCATCCTGTGATTTTCTAGAATGGTTGCCATTAGTTGCCACCGGCAGAACCGGCAAGGATAGCTCATCTTTCTTCTTCGTCGACTTGGGAGCTTCCGGAGAAATAGGTGGCAGAATCAGACTATCCGAACCGTTCTTAGTGGCGCTCCTGGAGTTTCTAGAAGATGGTGGTCTTACGATTGGCAGGGATACGACGTTTGCGTGATCAGAGATCTCTGATTCCGTCAGCTCACCTCCCGCAGAATCATTCTTGCGACCACCGCCTAAGTCATATGTGGACTTTGAGATATCTTCCAAAATGTTTTGTGTAGCCGTCAGTTTCGCTTCCAACGTATCATGTGTTGCACCGAACTCATACTCCAATTTATCACTGTGCTTGTCATTAATTTGATCGACGACTCCGACATCACCACCATTTTCGCGTTTTCTCGCTTTTTTGCCCGATCCTCCACTGCGCCTCCTCGATTTCTTTTCCTCCGTTTCCACATTCGAAATCATTTCGTCTTTCTCGAGATGGTTTTCCGTTTCTTCCTTGGTATCGACTTTACGTTCCGACAATTCGTTTCCAGTTTTTCCTTTGCTTTCCTCTTCTTTTTCATAATCGCGACATTTCTTTCCATCTCGACTGCGCTGACGAAAGAATTCCTTGTTCCAGGCGAGATCAACTGATCTCGAACGCTTTCCCCGGGATCCCCTGACCTCCTCCAACTTCTCCTTAATGATTGGCGCCGCACGATCGATCACCTCCTGCACCTGTTCCACATACGTAGGCGACCGCAATACTTCCAGACTCGCAGAACTCGCGAATTTGCGTAATACATAGGCCCGGATACGATCCATACTGAGCGCTCTCGACGACACTTTCCTCTTGGAGGAATGTTCGGAGAACTGCGCTTCCGGTCTCTTCTCCCTGTTTTCAATCCGAGTGATAGTTTCGCTGTTCGCACCATTGTTCTTAATGCTCGATCTGACAAATAAAGGAAGAAGAAAGATTTAATCTTTAAAAATAAATCTAAAAAATTTAATCTTAAAAATAAATCTTTTTAATTCTTATTTATGTGTACTCTTCATTTTACATAAATTATTATACAATTAATTAATAATTATAGTAAGCTATTACCTATTTTCATGTCCAGTCTTGGCCATTGTTTCACCACTTATTGTTTCGGTTTCGGTCTCGGATTCAGTCTCTATTCGTCGAACTTTTCTCAAGGGTCTTCGAGCAGAAGTTCTACTCGAGCTCGTCGTCGTCGTAGTACGTTCAATATCCTCTTCGGGATCCTTATCCGTCTTGGAAATCCTCATTCTAGATCGTCTCTCATTTCGAATTCCTTTCTCCGTATTGTCAGTCGCTCTCGCTTTCTCGCCGCTTAATTTGTTCCTTCTGAGTTCCTGCTTAATATCCTTGGTCTGGATATTTTTACCGGGAAGAACAGACATTTGCGAGATGATTCTCGTCGCGCGAATGTCCGATGTTGTCTCGTTGTCCTTTGATTTTTTCGAACTTCTTTTCGCAGTCGAGAGACTTCTCGTGCATGTTTGCTTCGACGTTTTTCGATTCTCTCTATCGGTAGAAACATCCGTGCTTTCTTCCACGTCAGCAGACACTTTTCCACGTCTCTCAAAGATCTCGATCTCTTTCTCCAAGGACCAATCGCTATTTGTAGATCTTCCGATATCCTTAGCCTTTTTGGTGGGCCACAGTTTGAAATCGCAACCAAAGTCATGATCGAATTCGCGACCACTGTATTCTTCAGTGTAATACTGTTCGCGCAATTTCAGCAACTTCTCAAAGTGATGCGCTGCAAAAATATATATGTCCTCGGGACGATGACGCAGGACCTCTCTAGTAAGACCTTCGACTACGGACGCGAGCCCGTGAGGTACTCGCGGCGCGATAAGGTATCTGGTACCAGGATGTAGACTAGGACGATCGATAGGCGAAGTAGAGCTCAACATTTTTTTCCCCACTTATATATATTATATTTTCAATATTTTATACATAATTTTAATACTTTACTGCTTTACAATATTATTTCTTTTATCGCATTGATGCATTGCGAAATAATTTTCTTCAAGAACGATGTTAGTGCGATCCTTCGTTTTCATCTGCATTCCAAATATTTGAAATTTTAAAAAATTATTTTAAAGAGTTTACTTTGTTATAAGAAAATACAATAATTCTCTCTTTAGATTTTTTTAACAAATAATGAAATGTTTATAATTTTTTATATAATTTCAATAAAGTAATATAATATAAGGCATATTTTTTTGCAAAAATTATAATGATACATATATATATATATATATATATATATATATATATATATATATATATGTGCATATGATGTGCAATATTATTACGTAGAACACAACAGTGCTCGTGATACTTAACAATTAACAGGTATGTGTGTACCTGTTAAAATATAAAAACAATAACAAATAAATATATATCGTTATTTTTTACGTTCTGTGTTTCGTGTTTTATTTTCTGGAAATTAAGTGTACCTGCTCGGAGAGAATAAAACAGAAGGGTTGCCACCACCGAGCTAGTGCACCCCCGTGGCACAACTGAATCACCAATACGAGCCTCGTTCGGTGCGGTGGTCGATGCTTATCCATTGATTAGTTGGCCCTGACGCGCGGCCACGTGACTTCGCCGCAGAATAATATACATGTGACTTAAAATATGGAAAAGAATCGGCGGAGGAAATAATAGAATAATAATGCGGTATATGCAAATACAATATACGAAAATCAATTTTTCTATCTTTTATGAGGCGGTCTCACGAAACAATAAAGTTCGCTTATAATCGATCCCTACGTATGTATATAGCCGAGAATACTGAACATTTAATAATACAAACAGCGACAGCTCTTGTAAATTTTATATAACGTAATGCTGAGGATAGAAATTACTATAGATTCCATAATAAGATTTGCAAAATATATAAAACAGCATAACTAACAATAAGTATTAATCTATAATTCATATTGCATATTTGCATGCTGGCATGTATACATATCTTTAGAGAAAGAAGACATATATAAAATATAAATCTTGATTTTTTAATGAAAAATAGAATTTAAAAATTAGTATATTTTAATTAAATAAATTAGTAAAAATATTAAAATTCTTAAGATCTTATTGATGATATTTTCTAAAAATATACAATTATATTGATATTACTTGCATTTAAAAAATAAATATATTATATTATATTTAATAATTTCTTAATTAACTTATTTTAATTTATTATTTTAAGCATTTAGGTATTTCTCTGAGGTAAATGGTTTTTTTCTTTATATGAATAAAAAAATTTATTGTGTCATTTCTTTAAATTGACTTTTATCAAGAGTGTATTGTGTTAGAAATTCGATTTCAAGAGGATGTAGTTTCTCAGCCGGTATAATGAGGCAGTGCAACGGTGGTCCCAGGTCTACATGAGTCATATCTTGCAGAGAACAAGCAACAATGTGCTGGTCCTCACAGCCTACCCGTGCCAGACCTACTGTTAAGCTCTGATGTGTAAATGCTATCAAAAACAAAAAGAATATTATTTCAAAAATAATGTGTAAATATATTATCTCCAATCACTTTAATTAAATCTTAATTATTTATGTGCTATTGTGGTTATGATTATTATATTTTCTCAATAGAATTTGGTGACACACCTAAATCTTTGTGGCCATCTTGAATCTTATTGTCGAGTATTGCTATTAACTGATTAGCTGCTTCATTGACGCTCATAAATCTTGAAGGCATATATTCCTTCTTTTTTTTCAAGATACTCTCCAAAGTAGGCTCTTTGATTTTAATATCCAAGAGACATAATGTATGTAGTCCTCTTTGTCTGTTAGAAGCTATCTTTTCATAAAAACTGTCTGGCTGCCAAGTATAAGTCCAATACGGAATTGAAATTGTTTCTCCATATGAATACAATTGCAAACCACAACAACCAACTGCAGTCAAAATTGACGAATTGTGTATGACTTTTACCTAATTGAAAACACAATGTTTTTCAGATAATTTTTCTCAAATAACAAATCTTTAACAAATCATAAAATAATCTTAATATTTCTTAAGAATAATTATTTCTCTATTTTCTGCACCTTTATATTTCTCTCCTTTGCACGCAAAATTAAATCTGTATGTGTAGTAGCGCCAAAAGGATCTCCTACAACTAGGAAAGCAACATCTTCATCTTCATTCCTTGGCAATATCTCATCTGCACCACTCTCTACTAATTCACGATCAGCTGTGATCAGGGAACGTCCGTAGAACTCTTCCTATTACATTAACATATGTATGATGGAAAATTGTATGTTTAATGTTAAATTGAAGTTAAACATTTCGTTATATAAAAATATTCGGATTATATTGTAACATATTTATTTCATAAAATATGAAAGATTAGAATAATACCAGAGCTTCTTGTTGTACTGTCAAAATAGAAGTATATGACTCCAAATATACACGGTCACATTTCTTGATAATTTCGAGTCCTTTGACAGTGATATCTTTCGCATCGCCGAGCCCTAATCCTATCACATAAAACATGATTCTTATTCGGAAATAGCCTCTACGCTCATCTGCTTTGCTGCAAAAAAATAATATGCATCTTCCAAGTTTTGAAATACCTTGCTGAAATTTGTCCTGTGGCAATTATGCTATTCAAGCAAGGTGGTAACAGCAGTTTGTTCTAAAATCTCTATCAATATCATTGCCAATATAGAAAATTTATCTCACTATCCACACCAACTTGTGATTGGTGGATAGTGTTGACATATCGAAATAATTGGTACTTCCCCCTCTCTTTCCGTAAATTCTCCCATCATCGCAAAATAGACTCCGTCTTTCCGTCTACATATTTTATGTTCGTGGCTTCTACCGGCTCGTGTACGAAGAAAAGTGATCAGCTGATTTATCTGAAAATAAACCCAGGGAAAAGAGAATGCTGTTGCACAGGGTGAGATCTTTATTTTACGGCGCGATTATTGTTAAGGAGACGAACACAATATCCAGGCCGTTTCTCCGGTCGACGATAACCACACCATCCGGGGCAATCCTGCCCGAGCCAAAGCGAACTCCATTCAGTTTCCTGGGCGTCTTCAGCAGTGTCGTGTTCGGTCTCCTGGTCGGCGCCACGATCAGCAAGAACATAGCCAACTTCCTGGAGGAGAATGATCTCTTCGTTCCCTCCGACGATGACGATGACGACGATGATAATTAGTACAACGATCAGCGTTTCCATTATAATTGTTGAAATTAGAGATTCTCTTAATGCTAATGGTAATTCTTCATGCTTCTCGTATTTGTAATTGTAAAATTTTAAAAATTTTAATGCACATTATGAGTTTATGTATAAAAAAATCTGCAGTGTTTATTTTTTTAATGTTTAAATATGTGCTAAAAAAATTATATATTTTTATATATTGAAAGTTAGGAGAATTGCTTTGAAAGTAATAGCTTATGTTCATTTCATTATTGATTTTAACTTATTGATTCTCTCTCTCTCTAATATAAAGATTACTGATAATAGATTTTAATGATCTGATATATGTTAATGTTAAATGTGACCAAAAAATTCTTATATATAATTCTTATACTCAAAATTTTACTTTTGCACTGGCTTATTTTCAGAGTCATTTGATGCAACATGAGGTGATACAAGAGGAGTAATTACACAAACTCAAGTGACACGTGGAGAGAAATCTCATTGCTTATACAATTTAGGTATCTTATTTATGATTACTCTAATACCTGAGAGAGATTATGTAAATTATTATAGAAATATTTATTTATACAGTTGTTGGAAGTAGAGCTTTTAAAAAATCTATGTATAAATCTTGCTGTTGTTGCACATGACGGTGCAAGACACTATCGTGTTTTTTGATCTAAATATATATATAATATCTATAAATAAATTGAATTATATGTTAAATACAGTGTAAGTAATACAAAAACGCTCATTATGACATCTATACAATTGAGTGGCGTTTTATATCAGATGTACATGCTATTATAATTACATGTATTTTTTTTCAGTCTTCGATTAATATTCACAAATTTCTAAATGCGATTTTCAATAATCCGCTTAGAATTGACATTTTAATAATATTTACTATAGGCGCATAGCACAAATCTAGAAAACTCGTGAAAAGACTCTATTTCAACCCTTTTAACACTATACAGATAATAAATTTATCCTTCTTACAGAAAGATTAATATTTCTCTATTAAAAAAAAAAAGCTTTTTTTAATATTACAATTCGACGATAAAATATGTATCACAATTCATCGAACAATTTCTTAAAATGTGTACAATCACATTATCTATCTGAAACAAAATTGTAAGAAATAAAAGCAGATATGCAGTCTAATCTGTATGAAAATTCATAAATATGTGTGCATAAATAAATAAATAAGTCTTGTTGAATACACAGAACACAGATTATAAATGATTAAGGCAGATAAATCTCCTTTTTAGTGTATAATAAAGTAGAAGAGAATCTCATCACAAAGAATCTTGTTGATTTCCAAAATACAAGTATGATAGAAGAACTATTTATACTTGCATCAATTAAAGAAACAAATGTAATCGAAAAAGCCCGTCTGCTGGTAAAAAAATCTGGACTGAATACGCCAAACAGATTGATGCATAATATTAATGTGCTCAAAATAGTCCATAAAGAATTATTCAGTTAGTCAAAAGCAAACGCAAAAATATAAGCTTTGTAAATTAAATATATTATTTAATGAGCTATTACCATGTTTTCTCATTTAGGTCAATTATTCGCATCAAGATGTACAGATTATTGCGATGGATTGACTTCTGTTTGATTGCAAAATGCGAGTAAAAACAAGATTGGCGGTATATTACAAGTCTAAGAATGTTGCGCTTGTGTTCATTTTACCTGTGTATAAAACTATTCCAAATGGTAAGCGTAGAGTAAAAACTGACTCGATTTTACTGTGGTGGTCTTTTGTGTAAACCCCAACCATGAAAACATTTCGTGAATCTCTTAGATTCCTTACCTTTGGCAGTTAAAAATAATTTACGCGGTTTCTCAGGTTGCTTCACGCGCAAGTGTTGAATATATACCTGGAAAAGAAATGAAACATTAACTGATTTTATATTGCCCTGAATGCTCGAAATTAATTTTTGTCATTGAACATTTTTACAAGAAGTATGATCATTGAATTTGTATAATTTACCTGAGCCGATTTGTAGGCCAATTTGATTTCGACTTCCGAACAACGAGTGCCTAACCAAAGAAACACTTGTTCTCCATTATCGAGGATCATTATATCATCATCTGCCAAATCATCCTGCAAAAAGTAGTGTTATCCATTATTTCTGATTCATAAAAAAATCAAAAAAACTTTTAAAAATATTATAAAAAGCTAATATCAATATATTTATATTTATATTTATTTTTATATTTATAGAAACTTACTTGACAAAAATCAGTGCACTTTTCGCTAATTGTAAAGTATCCCTTCTCATTAGAACATCTAAATAGTCTTGTATAATTCATATACTCTGCATCAGTGTCATAAGGTTTCTTTCCTCCTAGTGCTACCCAAAAGAAATTATCTGGTTCTTCGCCTTCGTTTAATACTTGCAGACTTATCCAAGGCTATAACATAGTATATTTATATTTATTATTAATATAAAATAACATACAAAAATATATTTTGCATATAAAAGAATAGCAAAAGATCATTCTTTTTTGAAATATATTAAAATATTTTAACAGGTATTTGCTTATATTACTCATTTCACATAAGTTCGCAAGTTTGAAATCAATTTAAATACAAGTACAAGATTTATAACTCACATTATTGAACATTTCTTCTGCAATTTCTCCGATTAAACGAGCGTCTTCGGAATCAGCTTTCGACCCAATCCACGCGTATACAATACCGGTTCCTTCATCAGAATTGTTGAATGGCACATTTAAGAGATAACTACAAATAAAAAAAAAGATATGCATATTTATGTATATATTTATATTAAAGATGGAATATACTCGTGTATCAGATGTCTTACCAGAATGCAGAATTTAATAATGTTGAATCTGCCGGTATTTGGATAAGCCGAGTGCACAAGGCACTTCCATTACTTCGCAGATGATAAAACTCCACTTTGTTACTTCCTGCAGGTTTCGGCTGTTTACGTTTGCCTTGATGAATGATGAATTTACGCTTGAAATAACTCATAAATTTTAAATTTTCTTGTTGCTGATGTGTTCTCACAACTTCCAAGTTTTCACCAAACAACGATTTAAATTTCTTTTGCAAACTGAAACAGCAATATAAGGACAAGATTTTTACTTTAGAGATTAAGATAAAATAAAGATAAATTTAATATTTTAATAAATAAATATATCTATATATTTTACCTAAATGTAAATGTTAACCATCCCATATTTCCTGCATCTCTACCTTGCCAAAAATATACTGTACACTGATAATCATCTTCGTATTGCTCTTCACCATCTTCGTTCTCTGTTATATCCAGTGGCTAGTGTAATAAAAAAGCAAATGATCATTTATCATAAATGTTTTACTTTAATAGTTTTTTATTCTAATTTTTTTTTATTTTTACTTTAATAAAATGTGATATCTACATACCATCCAATACCGACATAAGAAAACATAACAATCTGCACTGTAAAAATGTCCTAATTCTTCCTCTGGCAGGCGAACAAATTTTTTCCCTTCCAACACCAACGCTTCCATTCCTTCCAAATCGTCGTTCCACTCCGTCATGAGTTGATGCGCTTCGGCAGCTGACATCAATGGTTGTCGCGGCATAAATAAAGCAGCCAAATCCGCCTAAAAATAACAGAACAAAATAAAAGTAATAGAAATAAGAGAAATATTAAAATAAATATTAAATTTTTGCAAAATGTGAACGCACTTTGGTTTCCTGTTGCTTAGCCCATTTAGTAAGATCTGCTCCAGTTTTAGCGACCGATTCAGCTGTCCTAGTGAAATCCACAGCAATCACTTCGTCCCATCCAATAAATTTAGACTTAAAGATCTATGTATATATAAAATATAATGAAAATGCATGAAAAATATTTTAATGAAGAGATTGCAATAGAAATTAAAAGAGAATATATTTGCACCTGTGATTCAGTGCCCTCTTGCAGTCTTGTTACCATTGCATATTCCGGCCTTTCTATCATATTAAATAATTCTTGAGATAATTTTACAGCAGCAGCGCGCACTAATCTTGTTGATTTTTTACCAAACCTATAATTATATGTGGAATTAATCAATCAACATATGTTTTAAGTTTAATTTAAGAGTAAATTTTTTATACTTACCAAACATATACATCCAAATAACAATCTAATATATATACATTGCGATTATTCAGCAAGGTATTTGTTAATTTTCCGTGAGGAACTTCGACTTGCGGTAATTCCAGATAACCCATTCCAAGTTGAACTTGATACAATCTAGGCGTAAGAGGCATAAAATTTGGATCTACGTGTTCCTATCGTAAAAACAAGGGAAATTATTACAATAATAAGAAATTATTATAGAATATATATTATATATGAAAGAATTATATAAGAAATAATTATACATTAGTATACATTAATATAAAACAGATAAAACTTAAAATTTTTTTCTTATATAATTGTAAATTTATTTTTATTGTGTTATTAAGTTATTAAAAAAAGAACTTACAATAATTTGCAGGTTTTTCCGTTCATGTTCTTCCACGCCTAAATGTAGCAGGAAGTCTTCTGATTCGGTGTTCATAACTTCCGTTAAAATTTCGGCTTTATTTTTTCGTTCGTTCTTATTAATTTTCTCCGCCATCAGTCGCGCTTTGGATTTTAGCGTGCTTTTCGCTTTCTTTCCATACCACATAAATATTTTATTTCCTGTATCAAGAACAAATACATAACCAGGATCCAGAGATTCAATACAGACTGGAACTGGTTCCAAATGTATAGATGCTCCTGCCGCGTGTACTCTATATAGACGAGTAATTGCCGGCTGAAAAAAACATAATTTTGAGATTAAAAATTCTTTGGACAACTTAATCATGACATATATATAAGAAAGAATTAAATCCTCACTGTATCCTCCACCGTATAGAAACCAGACGATGTTCGCCCGCCTTCGATGTATGTAATATCCGAATCGAATAGCATTAGAAATTCATCTGATTCGTCTCCCTGTTCCTCTCTGATTGTTCGGCATTGTGCGCCCAAGTAATTTCTCAAATTTACAGCATGGATCGCCGCACACGCTCTTTTATCCAACTGCGGGCACAAATTATAATTAAATTAATCGTGCGTAATTATATGCGTAAAATAATTATTAGCATGTCTTTAACTTTTTCTTTTATTACATCAATTCGAAAATACACCTACCGTTGCCTTTTCTCCAATCCAGAAATAAATTGCCCAGGTCAACGACCCACCCTCGTCTATCCCGGTTTTTAAGATGATGTAACAATCACCTTCGTAAAACTTGCCGTGTGCTACCTCCTCGATCTCGTTTGGTAGAAAATTTTCTATTTCCCAAACCGATAGCCCGGGTATTTGACCAGCATCTTCGTCAAAAAATTCGGAGTAGTCTAGTGGTGGTTTTTCTAAAGCTTCATCCCATCGCTTGGGCCTAAAACATTAGTTATTTGATTCTATATAAATGTAATAAAAATTTATACTATAACTTTATAATATAACTTTGCTATATAATACATAGAAAATTTATATATTCTACTTACTTTAAGGATTCTGCTTTTGATTCCTCACATTCTTTATCTTTATTTTTCTCCTTTGCTATGTCTTTCATGCCCTGAAAATAATCATAAAAATTGCATCTTTTTTTTTTGTATAAACTCTGCTATACTAATTAATGAAAAAATGGTATACTTTAAGTATCTTAGCTTGATCTTGATCAGCCTCTTCCTGATCTCTTCTTCTTCTCAACCTCATTTTACGTGCAATTGGATCTTTACTGTCTAGAATCAAAAACATATAAAATCGTAAAACAAAACGCACAATATTAGATCTGTTCATTTTACTACTAAATTAAATACATTTGATAGCCATAATACATACTAGCAGCTTGAACTGGAACTGGTACATTAGCACCAGCAAGACGCAATTGATGTTGCAATGAGAAGTCGATATTATAAAATTCGATGCCCGAACCCCTTTGTACTTCTGTTGGTTTTGGTGGCATCACTAAATTTGGATTGTCTCGTAAATCTAACTGTTCTAGATCAGTAAGAAGATGAATAGCGTCTGGTACAGTGATTAAACGATTTGATGTTAATATTAATTGCTTTAATGCACCACATCTAAAAAAAATGATAAATTTCTCTTTACAATATTTTATTAAAGAATAAGATCTATTCCTCTTACAATAAAGTAAAGTAGAAAAAAATGTTTTAAATCCTTACCTGCATAATCCTTCTGGTATCATTTCTAAATGATTGTTAGCAGCAGAGAATACTTGTAGAGATGATAATTTTCCTATTCCAGAAGGTATACCCTCAAAATCTAATTCATTATCATTTAAATACAATCTTTTTAATGTAGAAATCTTGCATAGAGAAGCTGGAATTGCACTTAATTTGTTTCGTGATACATTCAAAGTTTCCAATTTCATCCAAAGTTCTGAAAGATGTATAGATTTTATTATTCTATTCTATTAATTGCATAGGTAAGACAGTTGTAAAGCAATCTATTTACCAATTGCTGTTGATAGTTCCATTATTTGATTGTCACTGAGATTTAAACGACGTAAATTTGATAAAGAATAAAGTGCATCAGGCACTCGAGGTAAATTGTTTTGTGACAAATCAAGTTCTTGTAAATTGGTTAAGGTTTCTAGACTAGAAGGTATATTACTCAATGTTCGTTGTGTGTTCCGCATTTGTAATGTTGTTAAATTCATCAATGATGGCAGTTGTCTGAAATAATTTAAAATAAAGAATTCTTATGAAAAGAAATATTTTAAAAATAATTTAAAATAAAGAATTCTTATAAAAAGAAATATTCTAAAAATTGATACATTATTCATACCTTAATTGGAAATGACCCAAAGGATTATGATTCAAATTTAAAGTTTGTAGATTAGCCAATCGTCGAGTTTGTGGTGGTACTGTTTCTAATTTATTGTGGCTAAGATCTAAGAACAATAAATCTGTCAAATGGATAAACAGTGTATTTGGTATAGTCTCGATACTGAAAGAATAAAAATAATATCAGAATTCTCTCAATATTTTTCTATATGTCAATCTCAATAATTTTCTACATGATTATAATATGTATTAATTGTTGATACATACTGATTATGGCTTAAGTTAAGATTGAGCAAAGAACGTGCTCTCTCTAGGCCTTCAGGTACCTCCTTCAAATTATTATGACTTAAATCTAATGTTGTCAATTCCTCTAAGTGAAATAATTCTGCTGGAATACCACTAGATTTTATATTATTATGTCTTATGTTCAACGTCCTGAGACATCCCAATTCTGTTAATTCTCCATATAAGCGTTCCAACTTATTTTTGACAAGTGACAGATGTTCCTGACAGATGATTAAATCATATCAAAGTACTTTTAACCATTTAATAATATTATATACATATAAATTGTCTTTAATAAATTCATATGAATAATAATTATATATATTTTTAATAAAATAATAAAAATAATAATAATAATGATATAAAATATACTACTAATACTATTATTACTGATATTATTCTATGAATGCTGCTTTACCAATTTCAATAATTTGCCCATCTCCTCTGGAATCTCTGTCAAATTTGTTTTGTCTAATTTCAACCATTGTATTCCAGTCATGAGACGCATAGATTCTGGAAATTTGCCATCCTAAAAATATTAAAATAAACTTTGTTATAACTGACTGCTATATATATTCATGTAATTGATCCTAAGCCCTCATGACCAAATATTGACAGATAAAAAATAGCTAGCCATTCATTTTATTAAAAATGTTTTTTTTTCATCTTGAGATAATCATGTATCACACTTTACTTGTACATCAAGAATATCCTTACTATTGAATCAACAAAGTTGCAAACGAGTGCATAAAAATAAACAAAAAAAAAAAAGAAAATAATAAGATTGAGACACACGATAATCTAATCGATAGATATATCTGACTGGACAGTTTAGAGTCTCTCTTTGAGGTTAATCCCCCGTTAAATCCCCCGCGTACTCACGCCGAAGTCGTTGCTGCTGAAGTCCACGCCTCGCACGAACGGCAACACCCCGGTGTTCGCCATCGCGCCGGGTGGTTGTTGCACGACGACCACGTCGACGTCGACGACGACGCGCGTGCTCCAAGACACGGGATGCTCGGTATCCTGCTAAGTATCGGTATCGCGATGCGTCGCGTCCATTCGATCAGGATGTCCGATGCCGTGCCGATCTTATCGTGCCATGTGGCAAGCGCGCGATAACCGCCGAACTCCCTCGCTTCGCTTCGACTGTCGCATCTGGGTCCAACGGCTCGTCCTCGCCCCGTCACCGGATCGAGCGCGCATCACGACGAAAAAACGACGACTGGATTTTCAGAGGTGGACATCATTCGCAGATGTGTGATAATCGCGAGTTAATGACGAATCTATTTGTCGATTTAATTGCTATTAAAATATAATCGTCTGATTAATAGTCTGTATAAATTATCATTTTTTTGATTGGAATAAATTAAATCAAACATTGTCTTGTCATTTTACAGAGGTTACTCATTTTAACTAGTGCTAAATGAAAGCAAAGTAATACCATTGATTAGGATAATCACATTGCGACAAATTTTTTATGCATCTTATATTCTTGTGAGACGGATGTAATTTTGTTGCAAATGTAAAAATTATTAAAAATACTGAGGTATTAAAAAATGCGATTCCCCAAATGTCGGCGATTGCGAAAGGTTTGAGCACCGCTGTTTATCGCAAATGTTATACGCGACAAATTCGATATCGAACTATAAATTTTTTTCTACATAGTTTCACAGTAATTGTCACCTTTGCGAGAAAAATTCAGCGTGATCGAGATATCGTTGTGGGCTGAGGGAATGGCAGCATGGACATCAGTAGCACGGGGAACCTCGTCTACAGGTACAAATCGTTGCCTTCGCTTCATTGCTCCGCGTTAGCTTCGTATTGCGCGCGTAAATCCGAAACTTGAGTCGCGTTGTACCGACTTGGAGCGCGCGCGAAAGAAAGAGAGAGACAGGAAGAGGGAGGGAGAGAGAGAGAGAGAGAGAAAGAGAGAGAGAGAGTGCACCGCTCTGGATCGTGAATGATCGTGAACGTGCTTGACGCCGTGTGATTCTCGTCCGCGTTATTCTCGAAACAAATCTGGCAAGCGAGACAAATTCTTCACGCTCATCCTCGTGTATATATGGCTTCAGTTGAGGAGCTGGATCATCAGGTCGATAGCGGCATGGGCAGCAGCGATGTACGCTCCCCTGAGGTGAAGTCGCTCCTCCCCGACGAAGAGGACGACGACGAGGAGGTATAGGATAACGTGTCTGTACGAGGAGAGAAAAGAGATGATAACTTATAAGATAATTGTACATCGAGACATGTGACTTACACGGGTTTTGTCTTGGCGTTTGTAAAATACAGGATGTTGTAAAAGATGTATCTTTAGGGTTACATGTATAATTCCATGCATTATTAAGATATGTAACGTGAAGTATTATATGAAAGAAAAGCTCAGCTTTTCTCTCAAAATCAGGTATGTGAAGATGAATAATGTACATATGATCCTTTTCAAAACTCAAGTTTGTGAACCATTTATACATGTACATTTATCTTATGAGTATAACATTTTAATATTTTCTTTAATAATAATGAAGAAATAAGTGTCTTTAATATTTAGTCAATTGATAAAAATTTTCTATATTTTTTTCAAGGATGAGAGCTTAACGGAAAGATTATTAGGACTTACTGAAATGTTTCCCGAGCCAGTTCGCAATTTTGGATATAATGTTGGGACCTGCCTATATACATGTATCAAAGGTACTTTCTTCCAAGATATACATATTTTTGCAAATACATGATCAAATTGAAAATATGTATAAATTGAGAATAAATTTCATGTGTGTTTAATATAAATATATAATATAATATCTTTACAGGTCTATATGCATATTCATGTTCAGCTACATGGCTGGTCTTCAGTTCGTCCACCATTCTTTTTGCACCAATTATATTTGAAATGGAGCGTGCACAAATGGAAGACCTGCAACGTACGCAACAAAAACAAGTTCTCTTAGGCCCTAATACTGCTTTGTCCGGCGTCAACACCTCGGGGCTTCCAATGGCACCACCTGTTCAGCGATAAACTATTATATATTCACACATATACGTGTATAAAAACACATACAGAAATATCCAAATCAGGAAATGTGTTAATTGAGTCGTCTGCTCAATTATTTATTAGTATAACTTGTTTATAAGATCATAAGATTTTACACAAAATTGTGAATGTAGCGAACGAGGACTCGCAAAAATCAAGCATGTAATTATCCTCAACCAGAATAATTCTTGCAAAATGGACGAGGTAATATAATATAAATTTGAATCGTTCTATATAACAAATTAATAAATTAATGCAGTATGCATCTCTTGGTCTAGTCCACCCTCTGTGTCTCTATATTCACACATAAATTATCTAATTTTTCGTAATTTTTACTGAAAACTAACGTATGATGTGCTGCAACATTTTATTATCAATGCACACGTTGCAGAAGCAACAGTAGAATTTTGTTTAAACAAAAAAGGCAACAACGGTTGCCTTATTAAATTTATTGTGAATGAGCAATTAAGAAATTGAATAAGCAATTATACATAATAGTTACTACACAATCTCTGTTATTGGGATAACATGGTGGTTATCCTTGATATATCTCGCCTGTTATATTGTAATTTCGACAAAAGAAATAAAAGGCATAGTGAAATAGTCTTTAATATCGTTCAATCTATCGTCGTATTGTTTATCTCTCCTGCATAACATTATGTAAAATATTGAGTAATAAATGCAACGACAGCTCTGTATAATATCAATTTTTATAATTTCTATTTGTGAGATGTTAAGAGTTATAAAAGTTTTTAGTAAAAATATTGGAAGATATTTAATATAGTTTCATGAAAAATTGTGAAAGGTGTTCATGAAAAGGAAATCATATGTTGCAAAATCTATTTTGTATATTATAAAAAATAATTTTCTAATATAATTAAATTATATTCTAATATCATTAAATCAATAGTGTTAAGAAAATTTTACTTAAAATTTTAATCGATTGTAATTCGCGATAAATTAGTATAAATATGTATAATTTCATGGACGTATGGAAACGCACATACACACATGATCCACACTCGCGCATACACACATGTGATCAATTTTCTCGAATAGATTTTAGGTTAGAAATTGGAGTGAATTAGAGCACCATCAGCAAAGATGAATCAACCCAACTTGGAGAAATTGGTAAATAAATTAAGATATAATGTCAAGCCACGTCGAAAATTCCGGAATCCTGAAGGTTCAGAGGGACGTCTTTTGAAATTCCGAAAAACTCTGACGGCATTGATTAAATACGAACGACTCGAGTTGAATTATCCGAGAGGCGATGAGGCCAGAGGTTACGTTGATCAGGTACTCTCATTGCTCTTTAATTATTATTTATTTCAGAATTAATTTATTTCTTGAAAAAAAACAGCAATTTATTACAAATATAAATATGCATAAAGATACGTTTCTTTTCAGCTTATTTATTTTTAAAGAGATATTTGTAATTCTTCAAAGAAATATTGCGATCCGCGTTTAATAGCTAGCTTTTTATCTTGTATATCCAGAATTTTCATAACAATATCATTTTGCAGTTGATATTTGAAGCGATACGCCATGGACCTATGCACAAGGAGACAATGGATATGGCGAATTTCTGGATAATTGAGAAACAACTAGTACACAAATTATTCAAAGTCCTTGTGCCCAGATATCAATATTATACCACATCATTTACAAAACTTCACAAAGCGCCAAATATTTATCCTATAGGCCACTATGAGAGAGCAATTTTGGAACTCAGAGGTAGGTCTTACAAAAAATGTTTTTTACAAGTTATACAAAAGACTCATTTACTTACATGATTTGTTATTTATCAGGTAATATGTATCCAAGCGTAGAACAATATAACCCACATGAAAGAAATTTACTTCACAACTTACTACTTGATGCGGCAAAGAAAGAATACAGGATGGAAAAGTATAAAGAAATTGCAAATAATATAAAGCAGTAGAAAAAACAGAAGATAAAGTGGCTTTAAAGAATGCTCTTGTACATATAGTAGATTAATTGTTTAAGATTTTAAGACTTTATTATTAAAAAGACGTATAAAATATAATATCATTTATATAATAAATAAATTTTCTCTCACTTTTTATGTACAAAAGAATTTAATGGGTAATATTCTTTGAATTCTTCTAGATGTTTTTCCATTAGATTCATTTGTTTTCTGAAATATATCAAGTATTGAAAGCTCATAACAATTTCAATTAATTTATATGATTAATATATATATATATGCTAATACCTGATATGATCAGGAATTTCCTTGTAGACATCTGTAAACAATTCCTTCCAATATGGCTTAGATTTCTTTTCTGCTTCTTTAAAGAAGTGAAGAATTTCTTCCTTAGTGGAATTTATTAATTCTTGTTCCTTTTCTTGACACCATAATCCAAGCGATTCTAAATAGAAACGGAATTTTGCAAGTGGTGTCTGAATATTCCATTGAGCGATTTCATCGGATGATCGATAAGCCGTAGAATCGTCCGATGTGCTATGATGTCCAATTCTAAAAGATTTTTTACAATGTGTAATTTTATTAATTTATTAGATACAAAAGTTTTACTTTGCAGGAGATATTCTTTCTTTTCAGTAAGTAAAAAATAAGAGTATCAAAAGTTTTTAAATTATAATTGAGAAGATATATTTATTATTATTTGTTATTGTAGATATATTTTTTCTTTCTCACCTATAAGTCATAGCTTCTATCAAAACAGGTTTCTGTTGCTTTATGCAGAAGTCTCGAGCATTTTTTGTGGCATAATATACGGCGAGCACATCGTTACCATCCACTCTGATTGTGTTAATTCCATATGCTGGGCCCTTAGCCGCAATACCGTCTCCTTTAAATTGCTCGAAGACTGGTGTAGAAATGGCATAGCCATTATTTCGACTGTTAAAATATTCTCTTATTTTATTATGTATATATTTTATAAAATGAAATTCCAAATTATTGAAAAATTACCAGATGAAAATGATGGGACATGATAAAGTAGCTGCAAAATTGAATGCTGCATGGGCATCGCCTTCGCTCGCTGCACCCTCGCCAAAATAACAAACCACACATGCATTTCTTTTATCCAATTTAAAAGCATAGGCAGCTCCCGCAGCTATGGGAATAAAAATTTGTATGTTAGATTATCTTGTAAAGCAACATTATCAGTATACAACTTTGCCAATTTATTAATATTACTAAACATGTATTACATAAACAATATACATATATATTATATAATACGCCTCCTAATTTGCAAAGTAGCAATTGAATTTCATTTGCAGTTTTTATTTTATATAAAATCTGAACAATATATATATGATTACCTTGTGGCAGTTGAGTTCCTAATGGAGATGATATAGTCATAAAATTGAACTCTTTGGAACCATAGTGTATTGGCATTTGCTTGCCTTTGCCCTCATCGTCACAGTTGCCGTAACATTGATTCATGAACTTCAGCAATGGATATCCACGGTGTAGTAAGACGCCTGTTACATTATAATAACTTAAATATGTATATATATATATATATATATATATATATATATATATATATAAAATGAATACACATAGTGCTATTTCTTACCAGCTTCGCGGTATTGTGCATAAATCATATCTTCTAGAGTTAAAGCAGCAGCGGAACCAATTTGCACGGCCTCTTCGCCAAAATTTGTCATGTAAAATGAGATGCGACCTTGTCTTTGTGACTCGTATAAGATCTTATCCATTATGTTTATGGTCATCATACTGCGATACATTTTTATCAAATATGTCTCATTTAACTGTAGTGTAAGAATATAATATTTAGTTTTATATTTGGCACATTATATATTTATTTTAATTTAAAATTATATTTATTGCATATGGGCGCGGTATATTCGCTAAATTTAATATTAGGTTTAAAATCATTATACTTAAGATTTTATATTTCATATTTTTTAAATATATAAGATATATATATATATATATATATATATATATATATATATATGTATATATATGTATATATATATATATATATATATATATGTATAAAACAAAATTACATATTTACAATTAATTGCGTGTCTATGTTTCTATAAATTTATATTATATTAAATTTAATTATAAATTCTATAAAAAAATTATTATATTATATTATAAATTTCTATAAATTTATATTTTTGATAATCAAACCTTTTCATTTCTAGGTAATTCAGGCTTGCCTGAAGGTTTCAAAATCCTGTATATTGGAATAGATTCATAACTTTCTTGATTGATAAATTGAATATTATTGGTAAAAACATTGTTGATTCCCAGAAATTGCGGTTCGTTTGTTATAGTGGTATATTGTTTTACCTAAAATAAAATAATTATATATTGTTTTACCTATAATAAAATCTTAATAAAAAAATCAATACTTATTAAAATATTTTAAAAAACCAAAGAAATATTTATTTATATACAGTTTTATGTTATACAAAATTTGAAAACAAAACATTTTAAACAAAATATGGATATATGTCAAATATGAATATATGTTAAATTACTTAAGCAGAATTAGAAGAACACACATTTTTATTTGCTTTCAAATATTATTCTAGAAGGATAACAAATTACAAAATAATCTGATCAAAATATTAAAGAATGATCACAATGTTTGATAGGATTATTCGTTGTTATTCGTTATAAGCAAATGTATATATTAATTATACTTTAATAAAAGCAAATGTATATATAAATTACACTTTAATAAAAATTTATTATTACAGTAATGAATAAATAAAGATTTATTTATACTATATACCTGCCAGAGAACGCATCGAAAGCGCGAAATTCCTTGGAGTAGTTTCTTTGCGATCATTTTGTAGCACTTCGTTTGACTTCTTCTGTAATTATTTGACGCACATATGTATAAGTTGATAAGTAGTTATTGATAACGTTGTGATAATATTTAGTCTCTTTAGCTGAACTGACTACACTAGTTCAGAGTTTATCTTTTTCCTTCCAATGTGGAGTAAAAAAGATAAACTCTGAACTAGTGTAGCCAGTTTGATTAAAAAGAACAAATCTATATAATTCATATATACACGCGCGAGGTCACATGAGTAAGCGTAAACATATACATACATCCATATTCATAGTGAGTGACATAAGCGAAAAATATATATGTGAAATTGGAAAACCGTTATAAAACAAAATCTGATGAAGAATGATTATAGTATGTAATGAATTTCTCTACTATCATTATACTTTTTAGATTATTTTACTTTAAATCTGCAAAATATTATTTATTATTGTTTAGATATGGAGATAGAAAGGAAAAGGAAAGAAACAACTCAAAGAGATAAATTATTATTACTCACTAGAAGAGGTGAAAATGCAGGAAGGAACTTGATAATATTATATCATACCTGGATATTCAACTTTAATATATTATTTATTTTTTCTATGTGAAATATATATATATATATATATATATATATATTGATAATAAAAATATCTTTAATATTAATTAAATGATTTTTCATAAAGATTCTACTTTTTTTTATTCGCACTGTTCTTTGCCCGTTTTTTCCGTCACATTATATTTTAATATTAATGCTTAACTTTATTAAGCTCTTCGGGTGTGAAACGCAGTATTGTTGAAATAGCATTTAACATATGCCGTTTACTAGATCCGTCATTTGTTGTCAAATAATTTATGAATACATTTTTTAAGTATTCCAAATTCGCACCTTCTCTCGACTTGCATGCTTCCAGTCTGTAATACAAATTTTTTAAGTTTATGTTTATGAAATTACATATTTTTATAATTTATTATTTTTCTAACATTTTTTTATTAGTATTATTATATAATGATTACCTAATGATATGCTCTTTCAAAGATTTAGTCTCCTCCTGTTGTTGCTCTTTCATATGAAATATTTCTATCTGTTGTTCTCTTAATGATGCTTCCAATTCTAAAATCTTTTTCCTCAAAGACGATACTTGTACTTCTTTCCTAGACAATTCCTGAGTGTAATGCAATATCTGAGGACTGTCATTCGTTAATAGTTCTGTTACCAAATCGGTAACCGGTTCGACAGTATTCTCGTATCTTTTTAGATGTGTTTTAGTTTCTGTTGTAGCAGCAGTCTCCTTGTTAGGCAGTAATGCACGAAATGATGCTTTTAGAGTCAATATTTCTTTATCTTTTTCTTCCATGAGAGCCATAGATCTTTCTCTTTGTCGGAGTAATTGTTGTTCAAGGGTAGATATTCTATTACGATATTCGATGTCTTTTTGATGCAATGTATGTTCCAATTTTGAACGTTCTTCTTGAAGCAACTAAAAACGTATACAACGTGATTTATTTTAATTTAGAACGATTAAATATATGGAAAGTTTTGTCAAGGAATAAATTTAAATTTTTGAATTAACTGTTACTTAGTGTAATAGTAAAGTGTGCATAACTGTATTACCTTTTGTTGATGATCCAATTGTTCTTGCAAACCTTTTTCTTTATTTAACATTTCATTGCTCATCATACGTATTCTTTCTTCTAAATTACTATTATGCACTTTGAGAAGATTTAATTGAGTCTTATCATGATTCTTGTCATGTGTCAGAGATACATTTTGTCTTTGTTGTTGACCACCACGAATATTAGATGACATATTATATTTGTACAGTTGATGCTTGTAATCTTCAAATTCTTGTAAAAGTATGTCATACTTTTCTTTATAATCGTAATGTTCATCCCATAGATCTAAACTATTCAGCAATGCTAAAAATAAAACGAGTTATTAAATTATTTACTTAAATTCTAGTCTTATTTTGCATTTTATCGTTGATTAATGTCACTTACATTTTATATAAGTTGAATCTTTCTTCTGATGATTGAGATCTAACAAACGAGTAAACATAATTTTTATCTTGGAAATAATTTCCTCTGGCTGATTATTCGACATCATGATTTCACTATGCTCATTATTTTGCAAAATAGCTAATTGATCCTTTAATTTTTGAATAGTTAATTGATCCTGTTGTCTCAATCTGTCATAGCTCCCAACAATCTCGGAGAGTTCAGCTAATCGAGCTTCCAAACAGGCCACTCTTGCTTCATATATCATTGTCGATCCTCTTGCTTGTTGCTCTGCAGCCGTGGCTCTTTTTTGTTCCTAAGTCAAAATGTATAAACTATTATACACAACAATTAAATATATAATGTGCTAAATAATATTTGATGAAGAATTTTGTTTTTACTTCACGAATTGCATTCAAATGTTGCTTCTTCATCAAGGCCATCTCAGTTTGTAGGGAAAGAAGAATCGGCGGTGTTTCCTTTGCCGCTTCTTCGGCCTGTTTAAGTTTGGTCTTGGTGATCTCTAGTTCGGCTTCTAGAATCTTGCATTGTGTTTTATTCGCGAGATGAGTCTTTAATTGCCCCTCTAATTGTTCTTTGCTGCGTTGCTCGTTATATAGTAATTTTTGCAATTCTCTGTAAGAGCATACTTGATACTTTTTATCATAAATTAATTTATTATGTAAAAACATGTACTTTATACTTTTTATCATATGTTAATTTATTATAATGATAATAATCCTCTTCCTTTGGAAGTACCATGCAAATGGAGCATAATGTACAGAATCAAATTATTAACATACTTTAGCTTCTTGACAAAATCGGCGTGTTCTTTCTCTCTGTCGTGCCGTTCCATAATTAATTTACATTTTACGTGTTCGATTTCGGAATGATTGACATTTTGAGCCTTCTTTAGTCTTTCTTTTAGATCTTTAATTACTTTCTCACACTATAAACATTAATGTTTACAATTATTATTACATTAAACAATCCTGATAGTAGATATCAAATTTCTCACTTCATCACGATCGTTTCTCAATTGCTTCTTATCGATTTGAAAATTGGCCTCCATTTTAGATTTTTCTGCTGATAAAGTAACCAACTGATTCATTAATACACCCAATTGATTTTTCAACTGCTCCACAGTTTCTGTGTCTTCAGAATCCGTCTGACTTTCACGTGACTAAAATTAAATAGATTATTAAAAATGTACCATAAAGATTATTAAAAATGTACCGTCATTGAACTTATAAAAAAATTAATTATTATACCTGTTGATTGACGAATGTATCATTTTTAGATGTAGATGATTTATCTACTTTTGGTTTATCTATTTTAAGTGTATCTTCTGTATCCTTTACACTAAGCTCTACAATCTTCTCATCTAAAATATTTTATTTTTATAATATAGAGTTAAATGATATTTTAAACAATATTTATGTATCAATATAAATATATATACCTTTTTCATCTTGTTCTTCTGATTTACTATCCTCGTCTTGCACAATAGTTTTCTTTTCAGCAGTTGTCATTGTTGATGATTAAAAAATATAATTATAACTCATTAACTAGCATCTGAAACAAAATAACAGAACAAATTTTTACATAAAATATTATAATTTTTCATTTCATTCATTTTTATAATTCTAAATTTTTATGACAAAGAAGCTTTAAAAATAAATATTATAACTTCCATTCTGTTAATATTGGAGAAGAATCTGAGATTTAATTTTTTCTTTGAAATAAAAATTGTTTTATAATTGCATTAGGTTAAATTAAATAAACACTTATATATTTTATACTTGATTGTATAAGTTTATTGAATCATTTATAAAAAACATATATATACATATGAATGCTTAATCAGATGCATAAATAGATGCATGGTTAGAAAACACTTTTGTCTTCTGTATTATTGAATTTTTCATCATTAGAAATTGAGCTAGGGTAATAGAGTTGGGGATTCTATTTCCAATGTTACTGGCCCACTGTTCTGTATGCAAACTTCCATCATTGCGCCAAACTTACCATCTGCATAAGTTCATCGAAAATAAAAGTTTTTAAAATTTCTTTCATATTTAACTCACATGTATATATTTTCAAAATACAAAATAAGATCTATTACATTATGTTAAATTGTGTTATTAGTGCAGTACCTTTAACTAATTCTGGAATATATTTTGTACGCAGTTCAGCAAGAAAGTTCATGTAAAAGGGTTCTGATTCTTGTGCAGGCATAGCTCTATGAAAATCTAACTTATTTCCTTTCAAAACATGATACAATGTGAATTGACTAATGCACAATATTTCATATTTTTTATCCACTACACTTGCACCCCATTTTTTACCCTTGTCGCCGTCAAAAAGTTTGGTATTCAATATTTTTCTCACTCTATGACATAGAAATTTACGTTGAACAATTATATGCACTTGTATATATATATATATATATATATATATATATATATGCATCAATAAATAAAAATAATATTATTTTATTACATGTATTCCATATCTACCGCTTCATCACCTTTCTTTATACCAATTAAGATGCACAATCCATTTCCAATACTACTAATAACTTCTCCATCAACTGAAAAATTACATTTGAGTCTAATTATCGTGGAGTGATATCACAACACTCACAAAACTTGTATGAATTTATATTACATAAATTACAAGTATTTCTCGAAAGGTCATTTACAGTACATCATAAATTTCTTCTTGTCATACAGAGAAAATTTATGTAGTTATATTATATGCATATTAAGTCTAATTATTTGAATATCAATATACTTATTGGTAGAAAATACTTCCAACCTAGAAGAAACTTTACCTGAAACTGAAGCCTTTGATACTCGTTGTATAACTGCCTTCATTTCGCAAACTGCTTGATCTCAATATCCACAAGACTCGCAATCATACGTTATGTCTATGTCGACAAATATCCCTTTCTCTGACTAACAACAAATACAATTATTACAGCTGTAGCAGCCTACTACCAGCAGAATATACACGTATACACGACCACGAATGCGATCGTATTTTAAAGGCAGGGGTTCTCAAAATGTCAAACGTCAAACACTCCTGAACACTATTTCACGTGCGTTGACTACGAATAATATGACATATATATCGCTAAAAGTTCAATAGAAAAAAAAGCAGCAAACAATAGCAATATTTATGCTTTTACATTGAATAAAAAATGCAATCAATCAATACAAATCAATAAAAATCAATGTACGCTCGCATAACTTAATTCAAACGCAACTGAATTGCCCTCTCGCACATACGTCACTTCGCTAGTCGCAGATGCAATTCGTTTCTCGTATGTATACAGACGTATATATCGATACGATCGTCTAATTATTAGCAAATACACGATCGAGTCGCGTACGTTGGCGGCGAGCGGAGGCGCTAAATGGGCGGTTTGCGGGGTCTCGTTCTAGTGATAACTGGTGATAAAATCGTCGGCGGCGACCAATGACAGGCGAGGGAGCCCATTTCCGCGTACATACGTACGAGCCTCTCACGGTACCGCTCCGCTGCCTACGTCGGACTTAACGAGCGATTGTTTACAAGCGCGCGCGCTCGGGTCCTCCCGCTCCCGCGATCTACTACGGAGTACATAGCGTAGCGTGTGTAAATAATAATCGCGCGCGCTCGTCCGTGTCGCGTGTCGTGTCGCAGTATTCGCAGCGGCCGCCCGACCCCGTCGGTTCTCCGAAGGTGAGACATCCCCGAGGGATGTGCGCGTCGCGACGCGTCCTATCCCCCGTCGTACTCGTCGTACGCGACGCGGGCCCCGCCACCGCGGCGTACATCGTGTGTACACCACCGTGACCCACTTGTTGCGTCTAGGTTATGGCGTTATAAACAAAAATATGCTGCGCACAATAGACGCGTCCGTCGTCAGTCGCGTCGCGAGTCGTGAGTCGTGAGGTTTGTCGCGCTTGCCGGCACCAGGGCATGGAGGCGGGCCCGGGCCTGAGCCTGTTTCAGGGCACCGAGAGCATACAGCTGAATACGGTGGCGCAGAGGCTCGAGGAAGAGGAGGAGCAGGAGGATAAAAGGCGACGTGAGGGGGAGGTAACGCCAATCTCTTTTCTCTCTCTCTCTCTCTCTCTTTCTCTGTAGAATTGTTGGTGCACGCGTGCGTTCACGATTCGTGAGGAGATTGCATGTGTAGGAGCTCCCCTATGGAATTTTGCTGTGTGCAGAGAGAAATTTTACAATGTATTGTTACATTTTGCAAGAGAGGTGGAAAATGATATATCCAAGTCCACACATTAAGTGATGATGTGATAAAATTTTGTCACAATTTTTTGATACAAACTGATACTGCTATTCTCTACGCTAGGAAAACAATGCATAAAGTCCACTGTGTAGAGTCCTCCTTATCGAGCAATTTCATTATTGTACTCTGAAAGAACAGAATTTGGAGAAGAACATATTAAATTTTTATTGTATAAGATTCTATTGCAAAAAAATTGACATAGAAAAAAAGGAGCTATATATATGTATAAATATCTATTGCATATAGTCTCTTTTTTTCCTTTGAAGAATTTTGCAACATTGTGTATTTTGCGATGAGAAATGATAAAAGTTTATAGAAATATGTCCAAATTTTATTACAATTGTTGTCTTTTCAGCTCCAGGTTCTCATGACAACGGCATTCAATGATTTAGAGAATGATGATGACGATGGCACTTCTGTCGATAGTAGCCACTATCAAGATGATAGTATCAGAGATACTGATTGCACCAATACAGTAGTCAACTCTGGCCTGGAATCGGTTACATCTGCCAAAAGTCAGGTAGTGGTGCAAAAGGAACTTGATGTCTATAATCACATAGGGAATGTGAATAATTACGATCACGATGTGATAACAAATCACATATCTGACTCCGAAATCGGTGGAAATGTGCAGGCCGATTTCGATTTATGTAGACAAACGGGAACGCCGTATGTCAACAACAGATTCAACGACAACAGCAACAGCAATAGCATGCTGGATACGCCGTATGAATTATCAAAACCACCAACTGGATACCCTCGTAAGATGCATCCACAGTCGGTTGAGGAGTGCACGTTCGGCGAAACTTATCCCTACAATTATGAAACACCATCCAATCATTATAATACTCACAAACCCAAGAAATACTCCAACAATGGTTTTACCGATATATATGAAAATAATGTACAAAGTAAGCAGATTCAGGAATTTGGTGGAGGCGATAACGCTACCTCGGATCATATAAATCATTGCTACAAGACTAGTCCAAATGGCAGGTCAATAGATGATGATGTAGCATACAAATCAGCAGAGTATAATAGCAAAGAGCAACTCGAAGTATTGTACAAAGTCAGATTAAGAGAGATCGATCGTTTGACGGATGAATTACAACAAGTACAATCGGAAAAAGAGGATGAAAAAAATCAACTGACGAGGAAATTATTGCTGTTACAAGCGGAAGTTGACAAAATTAATATTTCCAGGACTCAAGCGCAACATGCGCTGGGTAAGCATAAAGGAAGCTATATAATCATTGGAGTTTAAGCAAAAATATATATACTAGTATTAGTTATTGATATTAACAATATTATCAAATATGTATAACCAAAGTAATTTTAATTATTTTGCCTATTTAACAATATAAAATCAGACTGAATTAATTTTTTTAGTTGATGCTAAGGCTGAGATAAGTGATTTGCAAAGGCAAATGGAGTCTCTAAAAGAGAAAAACGCAGTTTTGGAGAAGACAAATCAAAATGTAAAATATACATATATATATATCTGCATTTTATATTGATTAATATTAAGTCTTGTAATATCAATAATATTAATTTTGTGTAGATAACGGAAGAATTGAATATTGCGAGAGACTCTGTCATAGATTTGCAACAAAAAATTACTGTGCTAGAAAGAGCACAGATGTTACAAACAAATGATAAGACGCATGAAAAATTTTTGAAACAGGCGCAAGAAAAACATGCGGTGGAAATGAAAAATATGCAGACTCAGATAGATGTTCTTACAGACAAGTTAAATGTCAAGGTATTGTCAAACTCTTTCTTTAAGTTATTTTTCATATTTCGCATATATATTTTCTCTATAATTATATTTGCCACAGCTGCTCAATATGGACATTGGCAACAATAATATTTGGGCAAGTCATTATTGATTATTTTTGTAATTGTGCAGAATATATTTTTTAAAGCTTCTTCAACATAATTTATTTATTTCAATACACAGAAAATGATTAATATATATGCCTAATAATCATGCATTTTTAATATAATAAATATAAACCTGATATTTTATTTCTCTTTATATTACTGTACACATTTATATGTAACGTTAATATTTAGTTATATATATTTAGTTTCCTATATTGTTATCTTTTAACAGGAGACGTCGTGTGTTACTCTCGAACATAAATTGAACGATGCTCGAAGAGCGCACGAGGCTCTCATGGTGGAGAAGGGTGACACCATGAATCGATTGGCGCAAGCATTGGAAGAAAGTCAAACCCAATGCCGCAATCTTATGGCCACAAATAGTGCGCAGCAAGTAATGCAATTACAAGCGCAAGTGAAAATGTTGACTCAAGAAAAGGAAGAGCTACATAAAACTGTAGATGATTTGCAGGTAATTTGTGTGTGTGAAAGATTATGTTAAATATATTCCTTAATTACCCAAAAAATACACTAATTATAAGAAATTGATTTAAAGATAAGATTTTTATTATATAATTATTTATAGAACAAATTGGAGGTAGTCAAAAGTGATATAGCACAATACGATTCATTATTGACCACAACTTTGGATGATGAATCTGATTCAATTAGACAGATGAAATTAGGTGAACTTCATAATAAATCGAAATCAAAACCAGTTGACGATATCACAAATAAATTGAAAGGCGAGCTGCAAAGGTAAGATCGTCTATATATATTTTAGTTTAAATCTGAATTATTAAATATTGTATTAAAAATCGTTTATTTCTGATATATGTAATGTAACTTTTGGTTAGATGTCTGGCTGGTCAAGCTGTAAAGAGAAAGGAAATAAATCGTTTAGAAAATACTCTATCACAGAAAGAAAAGGAGTTAAACAAAGCTCTAATGTTAGCTGAAACGTGTCGACAGGAAGCGGCGCGGTATGCCAAACGAATTAACGAATTGGAGCAAGAATTAAAATCTGTATTAACAGACGAGGCCATGAAAGCGAATGCTAAAATACAAAAATTGTCAGATCATTTAAATGATGTGAGAAAACAATACGAATTGTTATATGATGAGAAGATTAGCATAGAACAAAAATTAGAAGAGGCTTTAGCTGTTAACCAAGAGAGACTTAATAAAATGCATCAAGAGACTATAGAACAACAAGAAAAAGAAGCTATTGATGAATATAACAAAGAATACTTGGAGATACATGCTAAAGCCATAGAAAGAGTAAAGCAAGAAGCACAAATGGAGATAGTACAATTATCGTAAGTATTATTTAATTTAACATTTTCTGAATATTTTTAATAAAAACTGTTATTAAGAAATATTGTAAAAATGTATGTGTACAAATGAAATTTCTATTTTTCTAGCGTACAATTAGAACAAACACAAAAAGAGTTAAGTCGCGTAAAAGAATTATACATAGATGTATGTGGAACAAAGGAACAATTAATAAATGAGCATAAAAATGAAATCAAAACATTAAAAAATAAATACAGTATAATTGAATCACATCACAATGATGTAGAAAAATTAGAAAACGAATTACAAACGCAGATTAAACTGTGTAATAAACTAACTAGAGAATGCGAAGATTTCAAAAGCAAAATAATCGAGTTGGACAAAGATCTGGTATATGAAAGGAGAAAAAAAGAGGATCATATGAAAAAGATACATTCTGAAATAGAACGAGGTAAGTACTGAATATTATAAAAGAAGAAATAAATTACATTATATAGAAAGCATGATGTCTATAGTAATCAAACAAATTTTATTCTAATTTAATCAATATTCCATTTGAAGCGAAAGAAGAAGCGTTACATGAATTAAGAAATGCACACCCGAATCAAGAAATCAGTTTTCTTCTACCAGATCATTGTTCTGAACATTTAGAAAAAATTAATCAGGTATAATTGAATTCTTACAAATTTTCTTATGCTTTTACGTTAATGTTTTTACGTTTTTGTAAATAATCACTTTATTCTATTACAGTTGGAGGAAGATTGCAAGCGTTTGGAAGAGAAGCTTCAAATCGCCATGCAGGAGCAAAAAAAATTATCTGATTATCAAACTGAATTGGACGATGCCAGATTGAAAATAGCGCAAATGGAAATCTCGCAGGAATCGTGGAAGAAGAAATATGAGAAAATCGTCAATGAGAAAAAAGATCTTTTTGCAAAAGTCTCTAAATTAGATATAGAATTATCGAATCTAAAACGTACCACAAAGTTCGAAGACTCGGACGACGTGAAACTGAAGATTGCTCGGTTTCAAACAGAAAATGAGACACTGAAAAGTCAATGCGATAAGCTACTCGGCGAAAGAAATACTTGTAAAGAGAAAATCGCTGAACTTGAAGCAGAGTTGTTCGATACAAAGAAAAAAATTATCAATTTTGAAGGAAAATTACGGAAAAGCGGCGAGGTAACACTAAATTCGAAGAATGAATTGGAGAAAGAGCTCTCTTATTATAAGGATTTGGTTGCGCAATTAACTAGGTTAAATAATTCAAAAGAGGAATTAGTCAATGACTCCGCGACATTGGAACAGAGAATGCAACAGCTTCAGCAGGATTTACGAAGCAAAGACGAAAAACTGAGTAGGCTACTGAAAGATTATGAGAAACTCAAAGATGAAAGAGATCAATTAGTAATAAAATTGCGAAATCAAGCCAAACAATTCGAACAATACGTCAAAAGTCAAAATAAAGTCTCCGCGGAATTGAATCTGTCTCCTCGTAGTACGAGCGATAGTACCGATTTTCAAAAAATGAAGGAGATTATGGCAAAAGAGGTACGAGAAGGAATGGAACAGAAAGTGGTGAAGGAACTTAGAGGAATTGAGGAACGGAATTTCGAAAAGCGGAAAGAACTAGAGGAAAAATACAAAACTATTGTTTCGGAGTGGCAAACAAAATATAACGAGAAAAATCAAGAAGTAATAATTCTGCAAAACGAAATAATGGCGGAAAAAGCAAAAGTCAGTCAAATTAGTCAAATTATAGGGAACAAACTGGAAATTTGCAATCGAGAATTGCAAGCACGAAAGTTTCAAATCGAAAAATTGGAAGCGGATTTAAAGAAAAAGGAGAACGAAGTTGAAGAGGATAGAAACTGGATGGCTCAGATGATGACCGGATGGGCTGCTGAGCTTAAAGAGAGTAAAGCTAAGGAGACGGAGAAGAATGGAGAAATAAAGAAGTTGAAATCTAATGAAGAGAAATTAAACAGTAAAATCAAAGAGCTGAAAGATAAAGAGATACAGACGAAGAGCGATATGGATACGTTAAAACATAAGTATCAGAGAGCGAAAAAGAGTGCACAGAATTATAAGGTGAGTAAAACATTTGCTAAATTATTTTTTGTTTTATAAAAGATATGAAAATACGCGAAAAGATGCGAAAAGTATTACGAATGTATGTGCGGATTTTAGAGTTATGCGAAGAATGGCAGAGAGTTTTTCACAAGTGAATGCAAACGTATCGAGGAGGGATACAAAAAGGCCATCAATGAAGTACAACAAAACTTTTCGGTATACAACGAAAAGTACGCCGCAAAAGTCAAGGAACTTGAGCATCAGTATACAGAGAAAATAGAACAAATATGACTGGAGTACAAAGATAAATGTTGAAGTATGTATTAAGTATTTTTTAAATATATGCAATATAGTTTCTTTTTTTCCAGCTAATATGTAGTTACAGAGGCTAGATATCTTCTTTGTCTGTAATGTAAAACACATTATTGTACAACATTTTATTAGCAGAGTTTTATGTTAGGGACCAATATATACATATAAGTAAAAATGATATATTTCCCAGTAGAATTATTATCGCGTTTGCTTGCCAATCTCGATTCATGACAAAGCGGCGAACGTTAATTGTAGCTCTATAGCTATAGACATCTGAAGTACAATTATCTGGTTAATCGTCCGAGTACTCTAACTGGATAGTAATGTTTATATATAAGTTGATACGTCAAACGTATGAATAGGAAGGAGCCGTTTTTACATTAACCAGTATATATTATATTACAATTTTTTAATAATTCGTCTATAATTTAAGACGAAACACGACATGATAAGCTCACAAACAAAAGGAAAAGCTTTAGTCACGTGTTTCTACCGAGCATTATTATGACATAATATGCAAGACTGGATCTCTATTGGATTTTTCTCTTTTTTTCTCTTATGAAAGTAAGTAATAAAGAAGAAAAATCAAAATATGTAGACATTAAGGAAAACATTAATTTTCACTTCTTGTAAAAAATTAAAGCACTATTCCGATATAATTCTCTCTCATCTCTCTATCAAAGAGTTGTTTATCTTTGAATATTGGAATTCGTTTATACATTTTATACATGTCGCTAGAAGGGATAATCAGATCTATATTAAGATTGTACAAAGTGACTTTTACAATGTAGGAATTTACTTTACATATAAAATTCTTGTAACTAAGCGAAAAATCCGAATTGTATTAAAGATTTTTTAATGCGTTAAGCAGCAGGACTGAATAACAAAGATCTTTACATTATCCTTACTCTTAAGTGACTTAATGTGTATATTTAATTAATGGTAACGATAGCTTTCGACGAAGTATCGAAGACGTTCGTCTTTCTTCTTTACATTGAAAATTCGACGAAACGTCTATTCGAACAAATAAGACGCCATAATTAAATTCGACGAACTCTCAATTTTTGTAATTTGCTTATTTTATTATGCAATTGTGTGCAATCTCAGAAAATGGCCAATTATATCATATCGGCTTATAAGAATATAATATAAATTAAACATTGTATATCTCTATATGTGAAGATCTTGATAAGATTGTTCGATACACACCGCGGATATCGTACGTTTAAATAGATAATATTAATTTACCAGTGTCATTACACACTTACAGACAAACACGCGCATACACACACACATACACTGGATATAGAGAAGTATTATTAATATTAATTAGTTATTGTATTTTTGTATATGTAGAGTGAATTAATTTATTTTTTGTAATAAAGAATTTATGTCGCTGTCAAAATATATCGTTACATTTTATTATTTTATCTTATTTTCCACACTATATTCCTGATGTGTGTGTATGTATATAGGTTTATCTTTGAAATAAATATGAAAGATAAATTAACATAAAAAATTATAATCGATTAATGAAAACGTTTGCGATATTGAAAAATATGATAAGTGTATTAAAAATTATATCAAGAGAAATGACTGACTTGAACAAACTGTACTATAAATAGCAAATTGTAATTTATTTAAACCTATAAAACTTTATATAGTTTTCTTTCTCTATACATATCTCTTATATAACTATTCTTTTCATATAAATAGCATTTGAAATAAATATCCAAAATAATTATTGATATTAAATTTGAAAAAATATCCAAAATAATTATTGATATTAAAGATATTAAAGATATTGATATAGGATTGTCTCATTAAGACCAGGAAAAAAGAATATCTCTTAAAATTTATGTAAAATGACGTTATGTGCACGTGCAGAACCTGTAACATATATGAGATGTGGGATTCAAAGTGGATCCATTTGTTTTACGACATCTCGTATACGACGCGGCGGTAATGGATTTGAGATTGTTTATCAGAACATTGGCGTATTATTGGACGTTTTTCAGTAAGCGACACAGAAACATAGTAAGTGCATCCAGAAGCGCAACCGCTCACTGAGCGGCTAAGTAGTAATTGAATGTGATTGGTTTCTATCTTTGAATTCACCAATCACATTCGATTGTTACTTAGCCGCTTAGTGAGCGGTTGTGCTTCTCGATGCACCCAGTGAATCATTTCATCCTTGTTTATATTCAACAATAAACAAGGATGAAGTGATACATTGTGTCCTATGTCACTTGCTATCATAACGACTCAGGCTGAGAGCGCGAATTCTTCAGTGAATACACGGATCTCGTTGAGATCGCATCATGAATCTATCGGTGAGGATATTGCTACTGCTCGTGATCGCGCTGTGCCAGTCGACGACGCAATTGACGTTTCGAAATAGATTCGCCGAGAACCGGCGATTGACAGTCAATTATGACACGCCGCCACAAAGCACCAGATACATATATGATATCAAAACATTCAACGTGCGCGTGAGTTATGTCATACATGCTCCATTATTACACACATACACACACACACATAATTAATAATAATAAATAATAATAAATAATGTTATTAATAAAAAATAATAATATAATTAATGAGTTATTTATTATATTATTTTTTTATTAATTATATTGTTATATTAATGATATACACACATATATGTACCCTAACAACATATATGTCCAAAAGACGTTCATAGAATATCTGGAGGACAGCCAAAGGATATTTTATGTCCTCTGGATGTTCTCTCGATGATCTCTGGACATCTTTTGGACATATGTGTTGTTAGGGTATGATATTGTATATGTACATTTATATGTATACAGGATGTCCCAGGTATCTATCGTACAAAAAAAAATTATAAGTTCACACAAAAAAAATTATAAGTATATAGAGCTCGCTAAACTGAATTAAAGTCCTGCCCCATTTTGCACAAAATCACATAAAATTTCGAGGTATTAATTAAAAAAGATCGGCCAATAAATGAGCGATTCACGTGGCTAGGCAGTCCAGCGAGGATGGTCCTGCCCAAAACATGCGACTGCTCGACAATTAACGGTGAATATCAGGTAAACGAAAAACGAAGTAAAAATGATTCTTATAAACTTGTAAACACCGTATCTAAAAATCTAAAAATTTTTTTCGAATTCTTAACATTCTTTTGAATAATTTTAGAGTTTTATGTAAACATTTAAAATAACTTTGATGATTAAATACAAAAAAATCGAATCTGAAAATATGGTGCGTTAAAGTTCACGCATCGCACCAAATCATGTAAAATCAATTATTCTTCGGAGTTGTAGTTTATTTTACAATAGTTCTGTATCAAATATATCAATAGTTCTAGCAAATTAAAAGCAAAAAATCGATTTTTGATAACTCGAACTATAATTCGTATAAGAAAAGTGAGATCGGATCGTATTTTTGCGATATTTCTATGCGATTTTGTAAGAAATTTTAATCACTTTCTAATCAAATAATTATTTTTCAAATAAAAACCATTTTCAACATTTAAAAATTAACATTTATTAAACAAAAAATTTTTTTTACCGACTCTAATCCATCTGATAAGAATTCTGCGCAGTATTTCTTGAATTTTACAAATCTTATAACTTTTCCCTGTAAAATAATTATAATATTTTAAATAAATATTGATTTTTAAATGTTGAAAATGGTCGCGAGCAGTCGCATATTTCAAACAGGTGATGGACCATCCTCGCTGGAATGACCGACTGCCTAGCCATCACGTGGATCGCTTATTTATTGGCCGATCTTTTTTAATTAATACCTCGAAATTTTACGGTTTTACAAAATGGTACAAGATTTTAATTCAGTTTAGCGAGCTTTACTTATAATTTTTTTTGGACGGAAGATACCTGGGACACTGTGTATATATATATTAGTATTTTTTTTATTACTCTATTATTTTTTAAAAACTATTAATTCTAAAATATTCATGGAGAAACACTGGTAATTATTAATAATTATATTACTATTAATTTTATAATGTATTTCAAGGTGGATCACTTTAGTTTCGCCGTACAGGATACTTTCAATTTGCGATATCTCATAAATGATACCTGGTGTAAAACTGTAAAGAATGCTCCTATATTTTTCTATACCGGAAACGAAGGTAGAATCGAACTTTTTGCAGAGAATACGGTAAGAATAATCAATTATTTTTATATTTACTAATTAGTATGTGATATTGCATTATCGCTCAATTAATCATGTAATGGTTTAATTAAAGGAAATGTTGATTGTATATAGGTAGTAAATTTTGCACATTATTTCATCTGTGATATTTCATGAGAAATATATGTTTCTAAGATTCTCTTCTACTCCAATACTTAGAAAAAAATATATATCAATTATTATTATAATAAATTTGAAATTGATGCTAAAAATACATAAAATAGATAAAATAAAATATAGATTGATTCTTTTGTAAAATACGAGCCACCAACTTCTATATGTTGCGTTAGTTCGAATTTTTTTTTTGCACAATCAATTTGAATTATACATACTTAATATACAGGGCTTCCTGTGGGAAATCGCGCCAAAATTCGGTGCACTGGTAATTTTTGCCGAACATCGTTATTATGGCGAATCGCTGCCCTATGGGAACCAGTCTTTCGCGAATCCGCGGTATCTCGGATATTTGACGTCTCAGCAAGCCCTGGCTGATTATGTGGAGCTTATTGGATACCTGAGATCGAAGGAAGGATTCGAGTTCAGTCCGGTCATAGTTTTCGGTGGTTCGTACGGCGGTATGCTTAGCGCTTGGATGCGCATTAAGTATCCTCACATCGTCCAAGGGTACGTTTTATCACAAGACAAGCGATATCTTGGTCATATAGCTACTATATAAAGCTAAAGATATGAATGTATGGGAGAAAAATATCACATAAATATAATTGTTATATTTAGTGTTGGATTTTATGTTATTTGTGCTTGATAATCAGCGGAGTCAGATGTCACACGATAACATATCTAAAAATCAATCTTATCAATATAGATTAATTCAAAATATGTTCGAATTTTTCTTTGCTCAGTTTTTATAATTAGATATTTATGAAATATATATTAAAAAATAAATTATAGATGTAGTAGAAAATTGAAATTAATATCAAAAAATCTCTATATTTTGAATATAAATATATAGTTTTATATGTTAAACATATATATAATTTGAGATATATATGTGATAGTATAAATTCTTAAAAAATAATTCTTACATCGTGCCAAGATTGTAAACAATATTGTCATAATATGTTGCAGTGCGATTGCAGCTTCCGCGCCAATTTTGCAATTTACCGACATCGTGGAGTGCGACGCTTTCGCTCGAATAGCAACATCGGATTATTATGTCTCGAATCCAACGTGTCCGCAGCTTATCCGGAAAGCATGGAAGACGATAACCGAAGTGACTTCAAATGGTAGTGAAATAATTCGCTTATAATTCATCTTTATTCGCACGTTATTTCTTTAATTCTTTTGTTGTTCTTACGCTTTAGATGAGGGTAAAAAATGGCTGTCAAGCAATTGGAAGCTATGTGAACCATTGAAAACTGAAGAAGACGTCCAAGTGCTGAAAGATTTCCTGCAGGAAATCTACATAAACATGGCTATGGTCAATTATCCTTACGAGACTAACTTCTTAGCGCCGCTGCCGGCCAATCCAATTAACGTGAGCGCTTTAAATTTCAAGTTTTTTCTTCAATATGAATTAGTCTGATAAATGTAAAGTCGCTTATAAATATTCTTCTATTATTTAGGTTTTTTGCCAACATTTGACGAATTCTTCGTTGACGGGAAAACCATTGTTATCAACACTTTATCGCGCTATTAATGTTTACACAAATTATACTGGTAAAGCGAATTGCACTTTTACGAAGAACACGACGCCAACTTTGGGTGATGAAGGATGGGATTATCAGGCGTGTACAGAAATGGTGATGCCGATGTGTACCGATGGTACCAATGACATGTTCGAACCGGCAACGTGGAATTTCGACGACTACAATAATACCTGCTTTAAAAAATATTCAGTATCCTCGCAACCTCATCTGGCTTGTCAACAATATGGCTGTAAAAATCTTGATACTGTGACTAACATCCACTTCAGGTATATAAATAATATTTACAAAAAATTAAGAAAAATATTTGAATTTTTTCGATCGTATATCTTTATCTTTTATGTATATATGATCTCATTTCCAATCTTGATCCTGTGTTTCTCTAGTGATATATTATCATTATTTTATCTTTTCAATTTAATTTAATTTAATTTAGGGAAATGTTCTCACTTCTCCATTTTTTCATTTTATTTTTACTTGTCTTTCCGTTTCTTATATATATATATATATATATATATATATATATATATATATAAGAAAAAATATATATATATTTTTTGTTAGCAACGGATTGCTAGATCCGTGGACGAGCGGAGGCGTGTTGCGCAATTTGTCTTCGTCGGCGACTGCCATCATAATACCGGACGCTGCGCATCATCTAGACTTACGAGAGAGCAACAGCAACGATTCGTATGACGTCATTTTAACGCGCAAATTTCATCAATACTCCATCAAAAAGTGGATCGCAGAATACCAAAGAAAATTTTAGAATTTGATGTGACGAGAAGAAAAGTTATCGCGCGGAAAGAAATTTTGTCGATCTATTTGAAATTCTTTTCCTTTATTTCTGAAATTATAAATACAAAAAACAGGACGTACGCTGCAACAAACAATAAATAATCAACGCTGCCGTGGACTAATTACTTGCTAAATGAAGCATTGATAAAAACTTAATCGAAAATATACATACGCGATAGTATTTCGATATCACAGTAAATAATAAATGCACATGATTCGTCAGGCATTCTAAAAGAATTACGAGATAAAAGAATAAAGATGCTCTTAAACGACGAAAAGTATAAAATATCTGAAAAAAATGTCTCATCTCTTTCCGACGTTTTCACGATACATTTCAGACATTTGCGTTGTCTAAAATCTCTTGTTTCAAATCTAATATCACTAGATTACGTAAAAATGGTTACTTTATCAAATAAAAATTCATAACACTATCGAGATTATTTGATACTAATACTCGACATTAATTATAAATATACGCACTGTATTATTTCTAGTTTATGTCCTTGTCGCTTTGTATAATTTTTGACGCGAAGGAATTATGAAGAGTATAGCGAAAACAAAGCTATTAAAGAGATATATACGAATTTCTAAATATAGAATAATTTTTTTTCTTAAGAATGTCGGATTTTAAGCGAAATCCATAAATATCATAATCTATTCATAAATATATTATGATTTTATATTATCGATTTTCTCAAACTTTCGAATTCTTTTCATTGCACAGGTACAGTACGTTTCCATTTTTCTAACGGACTTGTATTTTTCACAATCTTGATCTCACATATATTGTTAATAAATAAAAAAATGCATTTCTAATAATTTAAATACACAATTTACACATATGTATGTGCTTGCATTTTGGAATATTTTTACTATATTATATTCTAAAATAAAAGTAAAAAATTGAATACTTTTAGATAAAATACTTGTGCCTCTTATATATTTCAAAATAAATTCGAAAGCAATGTGTTTTAGATTATCCTAATTATTTTCTGATCCGTTAAATATATTCTCAATTAATTGTATTTGTGTAGATAATCTTTGTTAAAAATGTTGTACCTGTATTAAAAAATCTTAAAGCTTTAAAAATGATATCGTGACGAAAACGTTAAGATAAATATTATCTCTAATCACACATATGAACATCGAAGAATATTGCGAAGTATGATGCAAACAAATATAGATGTGTAAATCTCCTCAAAAAATTGATCAAAAAAAGAAAAAGATTTAAGAAAAAATAAACCTCTATGATTCCATGATTTCTTCAATGTGGTGTACGTCGATGCGCCGTAGTTGGTCGAGGAACGCCAGATCGGCTCCGCACTTTCTTCGGTTGCACGAATGTATTGTCTATTCCGGTGTTGTAAGAGAGATATATGTTCGACATATCTGGCGGTATTGCCTGTAAACAGAGAGATTTTTATGTAATATTTTATAACATTTTAAGCTTTTTTGGCCAAGATTTTGGAAAATAAATATTACTGAATAATATTGAAAAAAATTTGTTTTTCTAGAATTAAAATAATATATAAAATGAATAATTTTTTACGTCTTTATTATTTCCCGCCGATGATATAGTTTGCGCTTTACGCATGTTGTTTCCTGTGTACGCTACACATTTTAATTGCCATTCTCCGATATCCTCATTCCAATGAACATATCTCTTGATCATCGTCTGTAATGTGTAAAAAGACATTTAAAAATTCTTTTTTTTAAATTAAGAACAATATATCCAATTAATTGTTATGTAATTTTAACGGATATTTTCCGGACTCCTTGTTCACTATTTGAATATTTTAATCATATTGATTTAAAAAAATTTTAATTACTTTTATATCATCTGGAAAAATTCGCACTAAAATATTCACATACCTGATATTGAACGGGAATGTAATGATTCACAATAAGATTCTGTAGTTGCAGTTCTCTACCGATTCCCCGTACACCTTCTAATAAACCTTCCATTTCTCTTTGATGTTCCTGCTGCAAATCGGATAGCTCCGCCTTGACAGACATCAACATCGTATATACACGCGCCAACTTTTTTGTTTTTCCAGCCGCTTCCTCTTGCAGAGACGAATACTTCTCTTCGATGTCGATGCGTTCCGCCTCTTTTGCCTTAATAGCTTTCTTCAGTTGTTCTTCTCTGCTCTTTCGTTGCTCAAGTTCAATCGCCGCAGCCGCTAACAATTGTTCTTGAGCTTCTGCTTTCTCCAACAGATTTTCGCCACCTACTAAAATTTTATTCTGCAAATTTTGCATCTTCTGCCGCAAGGCTTCCTTTTCGCTCCTGAAATTAAAGTATTTAATCTTCAAAATTTCTATGCTTAAATTAAATTTGTTATTTTTATATTGTAAATTTTGTAAATCATTTTTATAATATCATCTTTTTTCTCTTATTTAAGTATTCTATATTTTCACAAAACTTACTGAGTCTTTTTCAATTCAATGACATCTTTATCCACTGGACTTTTATCATCTCTTTCAGCTTTATCAATTTTCTCTGTCGAATCTGTGTCTCTGTTTTCCAACTCTTCCATCGACAATATTTGACTCCGTCTAGCCTTCTTATCTCGCTTTGTTTCCTTCGATTCCTCCGAATTTTCGGATTCTTCTTCGGATTCCGAAAGTTCCGCACCGTTCTCTTCCAACTGTTTACGCAACTGTTCGATCTCGACTTGGAACTGACGAAGCAAAGCGTCCTTTGGATCCTCATTAATCCTCGCACGATTCTTGATATTCTTCGCGCGATTCGCATAACGTAAAGTGCTTATAGTCTCATCATAATTTATATCCGCTGGACTGATGTTTGCACACTGTAATAATGTATTAATAATGTTAGCACACTGTAGTAATGTATTAATAATGTTAGACTTGAAAAGTAGACTTGCATAATCATAATATTAAATATTAAAATAATAAATTTTCAATTATTTAAAATAAATATATGAAATAATGTATGAAATATTGTATTATATTTACCATCAACGTTTTCGAATTTCCACCCAATGAATCTTGAAGCAACCTGGTTAGCTTGGAATTTCTGTAAGGCACGTGAGAACTTTGTCCATCAACCAGTGCGGATATTACATTCCCCAATGTAGATAATGACAAATTAATTTTAGTAGCTTCGCGAAGTCGCTGACCTGTCGCCTTTGTCTTGCTTTGTCTTTCTGATCCCTAAAAATCAACAAATATGGAAATATATAGGCATGAGAAAACGTTTGAAATAAAATTTATATTTAAAAAAATGTCTTAATATTTCATTAAATTATATATACATACGGCTAAATCCACCAAATGAAGCTTCCCCATTTTTACATGTTGCTCTCCATCTTCACCAATCTGACTAGATTCGACTGTAATTGTAAATATCGCGTGGGATCTGGAGCTAGATACATTCATGGCAGTAGCCCCAACAACACCTGCATTTATGAGTTTAGAGAAGTACTTTTAACATATTAAACAATTAATATAATACATTGTTATTACTCACGATTTTTATTGCCGAGCGACATTATGCGGTCCAAATCGTCGGCGTTGTTCACCACATATCCGCTCAAGTCTTTTACGAATACTCCAATGTCCGGCCTTTCTTTTACTTCCAATCGAGTATTTTGATCCTTCCCAAGCAAATCTCGGACTTCTTCATTATAAATCTCTAAGTATGTCGCGCGTACGAGGAATCTATTAATATTAATCACTAATTATTAAATATCCAATCAATATATAAACTTATTCAAACAGAAGTAACTTAACTACATGCATTGTAATTATAAGTTGCCTCGAGAAATATATGTTTCATAGAATTATATGATATTATTTTATAAAATAATAACAGTCTCATCTTTATGTTATTATATATCACATTTTTTGGTTTCTGACAGCATGTAATATCTTACTTTTGGTTTTCATCAGCTTTAGCTATGTGTCCAAAAATGTGTGCAAATGTATTTGGAATAATTCCTCTAGCTTGAGGTGAGGTCTTAGCACCAGACATAGTGTATGTCTTGCCAGTGCCAGTCTGGCCATATGCAAAAATCGTTCCATTGTAGCCCTGCAGCACCTTGTCCACTATAGGCCTAGCAGTCTCATTATAAATGTCCACCTGGGTTGAATCTGTGTCGAATACTGCATCGAAGGAAAAGACTTTAGGTGGTTCTCCTTGCGCTGCATTTGGATTCTCTATAGTGATCTCGCCATTCAGGGCATCCACATCTATTATATTCCTCGAATGGGTATCCAACTCCTTGCTGCTTAACGGTCGAACTCGCACAACCACCCTGACATTTTCTATTTCTCCTAATTCTGTCGTGCTATCCTGAAACATCGTACTTCATAAGAACAGATCTTACCTTCTAAAATATATAATGTTATCTAATTCTAGAAATCTACAACTCTTGATACAATAATTAATAAGTGTACATAAGCTATAGCAAATTCCAATAACAAGATGCAAAATATTGAAAATCCACTGTATATATTAATATGTATAAACTTAATTAGTGTAAATAAAAACTTATATCTTATATTAATAATACAAATATTTATGAAAGTATGATTACTATTATTATTATTAATATTATTATTTAAATAATAATACTGAACTAGATTAATTAATAATAAAATAAATATTGGGCGGAAATTCTGCCTTGGTTGCAGACTCGCGATCGAATTTGACGTTGAAAACTGTCAGGAGAATTCATCATTGACCTGATAATATTTGTTTCGCAGAGTAATACTAACTTCGGTCCCTGGCATCGCGGATCCGTTTACCCGCAAGAGTCACATAAAAGCGCGCTTTTCTCACAGCATAATTCGTAAACGTCAAGCGACACGTCAAAGAACGTCGGGCAGTCGTAGCAGACGACCTCCGTAAACAGATGGATCGATGCTTGCGGTTGTCGCGACCCGCGATTACACGAGTCTAACTAGATTCGCCAAGCTTACGGACAGCTGAGGCCATCTTTCCTATGATAACTGCAAAGTCAAAGTATCAGTAACAGATAAAGGGAACATCTAGTTTATCTACATTATTGAAGATTAGCCTACGTTACCGATAGATTAATGTCTTTCTGTTAGATTGAAATTTGAATGGCAGCAAGGTCAGTAGTTTCGTTTTCATCACAGATTTTCATATATCTCCCTTAGGAATTGCTGAAGAAGAAGTGGGCGAATCGAATGAAGTTAAACTGCCAAAGTATATTAGAATGTCATGGACATTATTATCATCTTTGTAATTAACGAGATGATTTGTACGAGACTCAAGACGCGCTTTGTCAGGAGGTTATTTCTAGGTCAGTAAATATTGTTATACGATATTCTACTTTTATACAGTATCTTTATACAATAACTTATTGTGTATCTTTATACAATAACTTATTGTGATTGATCAAATCAAACGAAGGCGAAAATTTTCCACATGTTAATTTCATAAATGTTTTCTAAACGTATATAATAATATTAAATGCATTTAGGAAACGCTTATGAAATCAACATGTGCTACTTGAACTATTTTTACTTGAACTATTTTTAAAATACGTTATAACGAATCATTCTATGCAAATATGAAATTTGAAAAAGCTTTAAAAATGTAAATAATTAATTTAAAAGTTTATTCTATATTTATTATATGTTATATATTTTATATATTATATGTTATATATTTTATATTTACTATATATTTATTATTCTATATTTATCAACATCTATCAGCATCTAAAATTTGCTTTGATAATACTTTGATTTTGAACGTGCATAATTGTGTAACTGATTCTCTATTTCAAACACCCACATTAAAAGAAATAAGATGAAGTCTTTTTAAACTTAATATTTATCTTGAGAAGACTTTAAGACTTAACAGTTGACAAAGTTGAATATTGATTAACTAGAATTTGTTAGAAGTGAAATATCTTGTGTATAATACAATATATGTGTAGTTATAATATGTGTAGTGTTGTTATATTCGACTTTTGCATATTTATATTTGCGTTGTGCAATTTACATTGTATTAATTAAGCGTCCGATATAATAAGCGCATAGCTCGCGATGGAAAACGCACGTGAAGAGATCCTAAGATGAGATGGTACACGCACACGTAACGCTTATGCATAAAAAACACATGCTTTCTATCGATGAAAGTTCTAAGCGTGGAACTCGGCACTCTTATCATCCGACTTAATTTATGTTAATAGACCTTTTTAAAAACTGATCGCGTCGCGACCTGCATTTTATCGATTAACAAGATTCTCGCTTTCTCTTTCTTCTATCATTTTCCCTCTTTTTTCCTTTTTCTCTGTTTCTCTTTTATTACAATCTTTTAATTTGCCTCTCCGTCCTCTCTCGAATATTTAACAGAAAAGGAATAATATAATATAATTAATTATGTCAGTCATTATGCAAAATGACCTTATTCAGTAAATGATGATTCAGTGTTGGACAAATAGCTTTCTTGTCGCTTTTCTTGTCTTTCTTCCTCTATCCGTTTTTCATCTTTTTCTCCACTCATTTACTTTCTTTTTATTTTCCTACCTTTTCTCTTATCAGCTATTTACATTTAGTAATAATTAATTACCCTTTTTTAATAATTAATTATCTTATTTGCTAAACAAAGTAGTTTAATTTGCAAAAATAATAATTCCACATAATTTTGCATGAATATTCTTTCTTCTTTTTCTTTTCTCTTTTCATCCTTTAGTTTTCTTTTCATTTATTTTTTTCTTCTGTATTTTTTTTCTTTAATTTTTCTCTCATAAGAACGCGAGAAATAGATAAACTTCATGTTCTCTAGCAATTAATTTTCACCCGCGTCGTTCGAAATAATCCGTTTGGGGTCCAGCTTCGTATGAGCGTTACTAACTGTTCCTTTCCTTTCTCTCTCTTTTCACTTCTCGTTTTCCCTGATTTTGTCTCTCTCATCGACAGTTGCCCCAGCGTACCCTTCTCCACGTTAAAGCCGGCTTCGCGCCCCTCTTGTCCCCCCCGGTGAGCGTGGCAGTTCGGAGCAGAGCAGCAGCTGACGGACGTAACAATACGTTGTTCCTGGTGCACGGTAGCACTATGTGCCGCACGACTACTAGAAGGAGAGACTACCAGAAGAGAACCGCCAAAGCGGCATCTCCGATATAGAGCGTCGATCAGCCGTTACACGGGACGCGCGATGTGAGCCCCCTTCGATATAGGATACACCAGGTAAGGCTTACAAGCTCGATTCAATCGAGGGAGAGCTCTAGTTTTGATCTGTTAGCTGTGTGAGAAGTCAAAGGGAGAAAATTGAGAAGAGATGCGATCGTTTCTCTCGTCGTGTGACAAGATGAAATTTGGTCGCATGATACTTACATGAATAAAGCGATAAATTCATCGACATTTATATAGTTACATTCTCGGACAAAATAAAGGATGTTAAAATTTTTGCGAAGAGAATGCTTGTTAATAATTTAATACCGTTTGATGCTGCAATTTTATTCTTTGGGCACTAGAGATACGATCGTGAGTGATATAATAGTGAGATGAATAGAAAATTATTTTCAATGTTATAAAAATAAATGTGAAAAAATGAATCGAAAATATAAAGGTGTGAAATACAATTGACAGATGTCTAAATTAATTTAGATAATTTAGCAATATTAAAAAGCATTTTTAAAAATGACAGAAATCATGATCATCATGTGCGCATTTAATAATTAAAGGAGTAACTTTACAGAATAATCGATATATAATAAAGAAGCAAATATGTATGTGTATTGGTTTAATATTACAAATATATAATATAAAATATTGTGGCAAAAACATTCGTGCAATCGTTAGTTACTTGTATAATATGCATTTTCTCCTGATGTACCGGAAAATGCAGAGAATTGTTTGCAGTCTTGATACTCTTAGTTAGTGAAATATATCCTAAAAAGGGATGATACTTTCATATAAATTGCCAGTGATTCTCTTTAAATGAATTTCTATCTATAGTTACGCAATAAATATATAATATATTGAAATATCCGATCGGCAGAAAACATTGACATGATGCTATTGTGCTCGCTCTATCTTCAAGACTTAGAACTCGCAGCATTATTGATCGATCGCGTCTCCCGTTGCACGAACACTAACGTGCAAACTAATCGCGCGAAAACTCGTGATTAAATCTTATAATGTGGCGTACACCCTTGTATATATGTATATGGTAAAACGTGAATATTTTGCGAATATCACTTGGTTCCGCAATAATGTACTGGATACAATCACGCAAGAGCAGTGTAAAAACGACCGGCGTACATCGAGCTAGCGATGTATTATCACTTTTGATTACGAAGAGTTACGCTTTTGATTTTAATGAATTCAAACCATAATTATGTAAATTTGGTGAAGGATATCACGAAGAATGTCTGTCATTGCGACTATGTTATTAAAGGGATGTAGTGTTCTGTAGTGTTGCGTGTTCCCAAAACACTTGAATCTAATTTTAGAAGATTAAAAATAAATTTAAAAAATTATTTTTAATCTTCTAAAAAAAATAGACAAACATCTGAGAACATTCATATATATAACAATATATTATATTCTGTCTACATAAATACACACACATATACTTTTTCTCTCGAAAATATAATTTATAACATAATATTATATATTATAATATTATATATTTGTTTTATAATATTAAGACAACTGAAAATCTTGTGCATTGTGTGTGTGTGTGTGTGTGTAAGTGTATGAATGAAACGTTTATTATAATTATTTAATAGCATCTAATTCATTGAGCCACTTTTTATCAAGCCAAAGCTAATATTGACAATGTCTCATTAGCTCCTATATAGATCCGCCCCTGTGTTTATCGTAACATGTCGTCGCGGAAAAGGAGGAAAAGGGGATTAGAGCTTTACCAGGAGTCAATGATCCGCACGCAGGCATTCCTCTCTTCTCAGGCTTCACTGACAACGAACGAGGTGTCTCGCTCGGATACTTTCTCATATACTGTCTCGTTGATCAGGTTCCCTCATTATACAAACATATAATTACTAATGCATTTCTTTCAAAGCAATATTAGAAACGAATTGAAAGTCGATTAATATGCGAGCATCACATTACACAGTAATTTTTTCATTAAAATAATGAAGAAGATTAAGAATGTAATATATATTACAGGTATTGTTGCTTTTTCCTATCCGTTTAATTTTATTTATGAGTTCGAAATAAAGAGAAATTTTAAAGAGTTCGGTTATAATTTGAAAAAAAATATGCGCGTTCTTCGCTGATGCTTCGTCTTCCCTTAATTGGCGATCACGTGCGATCTGAAGAAGTTCTCTCTTTAGTTACTATTTATGGACTCAAAATAAAAAAGAGACCCTCAAAGGATACAATTAAAAGTAAGAAAGAGTATGTTCTCCTTCTATCGATCTTCTGTCGTCTTTCCGTAACCGGGCAGACAGGAGGTCGAAACAAACTCTTCTCACTTCTCTTTTAAGCTACTCCTTATGGACATAAAGTGAAGAAAAAACTTGAACGCAATTAAAAATAAGAAGCGCCATGGCCTCCTTTTGCTGTCGACTTCCTCTCTTCTCGGCAATCAAAGGAGTCTACTTTTCGCTTCTCTTCATGTATGAGAAAAAGAAAATCGAACCATAGTAGATTAAAAGTTAAAGAGAGAGATGCCCTCCTTCTGTCGATATCGTGTCTTCTTCAGCGAAATTGCGCTCTAAGGCATTCTCTTTCTAATCTGGTCTATATATATATATATATCCATTCCATCCATTAGATATCCAAGAAAGTTTACTTTCCTAGTCTTCTCGAGTACGTGGGAGTAGAAAATAAAAGACACTCAAAAGAGAATCTATTTTTAAGAGATGGAAGTTAATGAATGATCAATCCCGTTCTCCCCCAGAGAATATTTTAAGAATAAAAAAATGAAGAATTCCTGTTCTGATCTTCTGGTTTTCTTTGCTATGGACTTCCGTCCTCTCTGGGACACGTGAGTCAAAGAGGTCGCCCTTACGTCGCTCTTACTCCTCTGAAGAAACGAGGAGAGAGGTGAAAACGGCGAAGAGAGAAGAAGAGAAAAGAGACACGTAGAAGAGTAGGGAGCAACGCATACACAGCCGGAGGAACCCGGAGGAGAGAGGTTCTGTTATCCGGTCGCGGTCCTCTCTCCTCTCGATGGTGGCAGGTCAGTGTTGCCGCGCTCGTGGCCGAGAACGGCCGTCGCTTCTCGCCGGAGACGTCTCTTCTCTCTGCCATCTCTCGCGCGTGCGGGGGTGCGGAATAAGGGCACGTCGCGTGCCCTCCACGAGCGACAAAAGTGCGTCCGCTGACGGCGGCGGCGGGCGACCAGGACGATGCGTCGCGCGACCCCGGGAGTAAAATCGCCGCCGCGAAGCGACGCCACTGCGACCAGGTATGCGCCATATACTCGGTGCTATGAGAGGGCCCGAGAGCACCGCTTCCGTTCGGATACGCGCGATCGTGGAGGAGTTATCGCGCCGTAAACCTGGCACGAGAATCTTCCCGCCACGCGCTGAAATCTTGTTTACCTTCGTCTCGTTGTGAATGCGTCTACTGTATTACTGTATATTCTATTTAATCTTTGTAGAAAAAAGATTGATAGAGTCTGATAAATCTAGAAAATGATAATAAATTAAATGATTGACAATTTCTTAGGTGATATATAATTGAATATAGTCGACATAAGTTGATATAATTGAATGTAATTGAATATAGTTGAATAATTGAGTACTTATAGACAATAGATAATTATTAGATGAAATAAATTAATATTAATAGGGCTAAACTTGATGAAGGATTTAAAACAAGGTTTTACTTGATATATTTTAGAAACGTGAAACTTCGTACATTGTGTTTTATGTACAATGTATACAAGCGCAGTATAAATACAATACTTACAAATATAAAATAGAATTGATAGAAAAATATATATTTTTTGAAGTAATGAAAAATTCCCTTATTTAACGTGATGATGTGAGCATATCTTCTTTTAAAAAATATGATCATTCAACAATTAAGATAATATTTCATTAAATTGCATTACGATCATTCTAACTTTTAAATTAGAAAAATATCAATTAAAAATTTCAACAACGCAAAATATCCTATTTCCAGTTATTAATTGTGTTACAATTTTATGTTTAATAAAAATATTACAATAAAAATACTATAAAAAATTAAATATTGCAATTTAAGATTTATCTTCTTCATTAGTATATTAAAACTTTTAGATGTTATTAATTATAAGACTTATCATTATTAACCACAACACATAATGTTCTGTGATATACATGGGAAAAATGATCTTCGATTATTACGCGGCTTTTGGAGCGTTACAATTTCAAATTGACTTCATTGTAATAAGACCGTAGAGATCACAGATCTCTTTTCTTCGTGATATCTTCCTCTTTTTTTCAACAGGTCGCGGTCATGGCGTCACGCTATATGAATCGGATTTTGCTTTTCGCTCTGATACCTTCCACTGTTTAACATTGATCTTGAACTCCTTTATATAGTATAAGACTTCCGTCAGGAATATAAAATTCGTTAAATTTATTATAATCTTTAAAGAATGTCTCCATCAGTTTCAACGAGATGATAATTTTTCTAAATTAAAGTCACCCTGTTACATTCCTGTTACATCACTTTGAATTTTATATTAATTTGCATTTAGTTCCGTACAAGAATTATTTTTTATTTCATTTTCTTAAATGTATAATAATGTTATGATCATAATAAGGAATGCAAATACTAATTAACCGTATCTGCAAACAGAATTTTAATTAGTACAAATATTTAATTTTTTAAATTACTTTTTTTAATCACACAATGTTGATTCATCTTCTTTATATAAATATTTTTATTTGAGAGGAATTAATAATTATAAAAGCCTTATGCGCGACCATATTTTTGGACTCGGATAGCTCTGCTTCGAGCATGGCACGAGAATACCGAACCAGACGCGCATACGTCTATGTAAATATGTAAATACCTATAAACCGAGGCAGGAAACAGCCGGAATCCTCTCTCCGTTTCTTTCGGCAAAACGAGAACAGGTTCCCGTGTGACAGCTTTTCTAAAATCTTTGGAATGTATCGCCTACAGATTTTTCTATCCTTAGATATTTAATTTAAGATTTGTCTATAATTATGAGTGAAGCCATTAAGAGATCGAGAATTAATTACAATACGTTTTATGAG